ATGTTTAGTTAAGAGAAATGTACCAGCATTTTGTAGGTGAAATAAAAATATCTCAATTTTCTATCTACTGTTGGAGCTATGATAAACCTGAGCAATGGCTTATATGTAGTACTGGTGCGTATGTAATACATAGTATGTAGGTATTGTCCTAAATACTCAGTACTCATTAACTTATTTAATCAGTCCCCCAAAGAGATGCTATTATCACACCCATCTTATAGAAGGGGAAACTGGGGCCCCAGCTAGTAGTAAGTGTCAGAGCTGGGATTTAAACTCAGGCATCCTGGCTAATGAAGTTTACTATAATTGAATCCTGCTACTGTAAGAAAAGCACCTACTGTGCACATGAAAATGCACCACTGTCTCTCCTGTGCTTAAAACCCCAAAAAGTCAGATGTACTGTAGGTGTCACATTCAAACACTCCACACTTGGGGCAGGAAATGGGACAGCCTGGACACCGCTTCTTCTGAGAAACCCCTGTTCCTACTTTTTTGAGGGCTAGGATGCAGTGGTCTGTAACTCTACATCTGTATGGCTATAAGATTAGCCCGCAGTTCCCCCAAGGCAAAACTGTGTCTGATTTTCTGTGAAGAGACACTCAGGACATGTTTGCTGAGTAAAGGAGCAAGCTCGGCATTCTTGAGACAGCACATCTCCTCCACCGGCTCAAAAGTCCATTGGCCTGTTCTATGTCCAGTATTTACTTAGAGTTTATTCAGCTAATGCAGCTTGGGCCAGAGTCTCCAAGTTCATATGCCAGCAAGAGACCATAACTGGGAGACCAGGCCCTGCAGGACCATCCCAACAGAGGCATCACCCACAGAGGCTGAGGAGCAGACAGTCCTTTGACATTTTCACTCTGCCATCTTGATATTCCCATTGGGGCTTGGGATGTTTAAGGCTTTTTACTTAGATTTTAATCAGAATTCAAACAAATGTGACCAGATTTTATCAAAAATTATTCTCAGCATAAATTCTATTAATCAAACTTAATCTCTTGCTCGGTTTTCTATTACTCCTTTTTTCTGCATCGTACTTTACTATTTTTTCCATGAGGGTTCATTCTTTTCCATGTAAATTCTACAGCAACAACAGTATTCACTAGTGAAAGTTTTTGCCCAAGTCAATTTAGAAGTAATCTCTCCTTCTGTAAATAATTTTCTTTTGAGATCATTATTTCTCTTACCTCAGCTTTTTCAAGAGACTATGTGATAGGTTTGTACTTGCCAAATATAAATTTTACTATAAAAAGCTCTTCCTTTAATTTTTAGTTAATATTCCGTTTCACCTCACACTTTGTACAGTTTTAACCACTATTATTTTATTCAGAACTGATTACTTTAATAATAATATTCATTATGAAGTGGTCAAGAATCAAATCTTTGGATTTTTGGGGGGCGGGCTATGAGCAGAGAACAGTCAAGCCAAGAATGTAATGAAGTCAAAAATTCAAAAAGAAGTTCAAAATGTCCTTGTACTCAAACAAGGGGACACACAGTGGGGCTCTGGCACTATTTAATGTCTGCTGAAATGAACTGAACCTATGACAGTTGTCCTTTTTGTTAATAAATTTAATCAAGTTTGGCCAATGGTTTCTTAATAACAGTGTACTGACTTGGGATGCAATGTCTTCAAAAATAAAATAAATTACAGAAACACACAAAACACACAGGGGTTGGGTATTAGAAACCAAAGATTAAACAATTTGAAGAGGAAAAAAAGAGATAACAGAAAACAGGAGGATAGATCTTTTGCAAATAGAAAGGAAATCAAGAGATAGAAGGGAATGCACAGAGGATTAAGATGTGTCATGTCCACATACCAACTCTTCGCAAGGAGTGTCATCATTAGGTACTTCAGACACATATCAATAGAAAAATTTTTAAAGGATATGTTATTCTAAACACCTACAACTTCTACCGACCTGGCTGTAGATGTCAGATGCCCTCTTGGCTCGAAGCATATCTGGGATATCCATGTTCACTTGCATTCCTTTCCCCTTAATTTCATTTTCTAAGTCTTTCTTATAGAGTTTCTAAAAGAATAGAAAATAATCATGGTGATTGCTTCACCTTCAAGAGCAATGGAGGGCTGGGGATTTAGCTCAGCAGCACAGTACCTGCCTGGCAAGTGCAAGGTCGTGAGTTCGATTCCCAGTACCGGAGAAAAATCAAAAAAGAAAATAAAAGCAAATAAATAAACAAATAAAAGAGCAATGGAGACACTGACATTTTTCAACAGCAAAGGCCCTGCTATGGAAGTCCCATTTATACTCTTGCTGGACGCCACTCCCAGTGTTTGTGTGAAGCTTGGTACCCGCTGCTCCCTCACCTGGCTGGCCATCTCGGATGCTCGCTTAGCTCTCTGGACATCGAGAGTGTCTGGACTGACCTGCATGCCTTTTCCTTTAACTTCAGTCTCCAGGTCTCTTTTGTAGTCTTTCTGCAGAAAATGAAACATGCAGTTAATGCCCGACAATCACTCAAAACCTTGCTGGAAAACTACGCTGTCATTTGGACATGAGGACCAGTTCATTTGAATTAAGTTGACACTTTATTTCTTTTATTTCTATAGAACAAGAGTTTTAACGTGCTGTAGAAACATGACATGGAGTGTATTAGTCACAAGTAAGGAGGAGGCTTTTGTCTACAAATCTGAATTAACAAAGGGAAAAGAGCTGGGGGGGTCATATTTCAATATAATAAACTCCATAAATTACCGGTTAACATATAACTCGGTTGAAGAATGTTAGTAAAAAGTGATTGAAAATTGTTGCTTTTCACACTTGCAGCTACTCGCTGCTCCCTATTCCAAACCATTCTGTTTGAATAAATTTGGCCCAATTCTCTGGGCCCTGTGGGGCTTACGATCCATCCCTGGCCTGAGTGATTGGTTCAGGGATGGGCACACTTATTTTTCAATGGAGAATCACAGACTTTCTATTTCCTCCTGGACATGACTGAGGAAGGATGCAGCCTGGGAGCTGCTGAAAGTTTCTTCATACGTAGAGGAAAACCAGCCTTGGAATGGAAGGTCAGGAACAGAAACTGAATCACATTACACTCACGCATCTCTTGATGAGGGGGATAATTCTGAAAAATGTGTCACTCCGCAATTTTGTTACTATGTGAACATCTTAGAGTGTGTTCACAAAAACCTCCATGAGATTGCTCACTACCCACCCAGGCAAGATGGCATATATTGTATCCAGCCTGTTGCTCCTGGGACCAGGCTGAACAGCGCAGAGCAGATTACGTCAAGCACAAGAGAACACAATGCAATCAAGAGACTTAGTAAACAAAGATATACGAGGCTGCTGCCAGAATAACACAACGTTATTCTATAGTAAAGTCCTTTTTTAATAAGTAGAAAGAACACATTCAAATGATAAGAAGTAAACACACAGACCAGTAATAGACGTTTATGATCATTTTCAAGTACTATGTACTGAACATAATTGTGTGTGTGTTATACTTTTATACAACTGATAGGGCAGTAGGTTTGTATACACCAGCATAGCTACAGCCACAAGGGTAATATGTTGCACTACAACACTAGGATGGCTGTGACGGTGCTAGGCAATGGGAATTTTGCAGCTCTATTACAGTCTTACGGGGCCAACATCATACGTGTGGTTCGTCATTGACCAAAAGTCATTATGACACACATGATTGTATTTGGGTCTTGATGATGGGGATGATGGGTTCCTTCTCTCATTATAATTCCTTTAGAATCGCTGTGGCGCCTCCTACTGGAGGCTATGTGTCATGGCCAATATGGCACTGGCCACTAGAGGCCATGTGCTAAGCCCCACCCTTCGAGTTATATTACAACTTCCTACTCCCCTTTGTAGTGTCCTATTTCATTTTCCCACACTCCCACCCAATGCTGGCATGCCACATCAGCTGGTCCAACCACTCCCCCACAAGCCCAGCCTCCAGCCTGGCCATATATTACCATTGTTCTCAGCCAGGCCCCCCAGAAAATCCACGTTCCCCAACCTCCCCTCTGTGGTCTTCTCCGTGCCTGCAATAAAGGCATTTTATTGTTTTATTACTCTCTGCAGCGACCGAAATCTATCAGCCAGAGCTAAGAATTCATCTACTGTTCAACTATAAGAACAATAAATTATCTGCTTTTTAAAAAGGCAGCTTAAGTTGGATTACCTGATACCAAACAGTCACAATTACAGGCACACGTGTCCTAAAGGATCTTGTCACAATTTAAAGTTGATAATAAAGGTCAGCAAGCTGTATACTTACACTTTTGCATTTTTTATAAATTATTCTTTGAAAAATTACTTAAAGATTCTGAACTATATAGCTGATTATATTTCTTCTGAACAATGATTTCTTATATTTACACGCTTGTAGATTGACTTGTAGATTCTCTGGTACAAGGTAAACATGGGTATGCTTATTTGTGCTATTCTGAATAATCTGTTTAAAGCTATTTAAAAACTTCAAATACATTGTAAACAGAATTCACAATCATAAAGAAATATATTTTGCCCTATTATTTGCTCATAACTTGGCTTGTTTTTACTGAATTATACTCTCAGTTGCACTCTTCTAATTAAAATTTCAAGTAATAGTGTTTTAACTACCAAAAATAATATTCAATTATTACAGTGTCTGAGAAAAGCACTCTGTTTTTAGTAAATCTATCTAAAGTGCTAAAACAACACATTTAATTTGAAGGTTAATGTAGGTGGAACCTGAAGCACTGGCTAGAGACCACCACCAAGATTCCATGGTACAAATATGTCTCTCAATTTTCTGCTATGAATTGTAACATCTAAAAGTGTTCTAAAGCACACAGACTACAATAGACACCAGTTATCCAGTTATTTGCTATTGCTACATAGTAAAACACGCCCACTTATATTCCAAGAGAACAAGCCCTAATGCATAAGTATATTTAGAGCCTTTGTCCACATCAAATTGCTAATGTCCCATTGGCTCAAAGTCCCATGGTCAAGCCCACAGATGCAGGAAGGTTTGACTAGTGGGGATCAGCGGCATAACCACATACAGTGACTCCTCAATTTATGAACTTCATTTGTTTTAAGGGTTGGGGAAGTGGCTGAGTTCATGTTTGTGTGGAGAAGATGGCTGTGGTCGTGTTTGTCACCTGATGTGGAGTTTGCAAACAAAAGCAAAATTTTGCCCAACACTTTTCTTTGTGAACTAAATTATTTGCAAACAGAAGCATTCATGAATGGAGGTATTTCTGTACTATATTAACCTTACTTTAAAAATAAGCTTTAGATATTAAAAAATAAACCACACAAAGTCCCAAAATTAGTTTGAAAGAGATTTAAAGCATTTTAACTTGGCAAAAATTGACATGCTATGATTATGTGCCAATCAGATATTCAGATTCCAGTGATAGGAGCATCACCAATATTGGTTTGAGCTGCATGCAACCCTAATACAGCTCTAACCCTATGTGCCCCTAGGTTTTCAGAAACAAAATCTGCACTATTTTCCCAGTAGCTGATCCTAAACAACAAAGAGAAATCCAAATTGGCGTACTGTGGAACAAATTAATTAACATAGTAATGAAAGATCTGAATGCTAAAATGGGCCAGCTTCCTATGAAAGGCATATATCTTAACAGTGTGCTCCTAGGTAAAAGGATAAAATAAAATATGAACTCTTTCCATACTCCTTTCTCTAAGGAGAGGACACTTCCAACTGGCTTCAACTCTTATCTCCATGAGGATGGTTTCAAAACCTTCTCCTCCAGCTCTGAACTCCCATTCTGCTGCCCCATGCTCCAATTCAGTAACTTGAAGTAGTACTAGACAGACCCTCCTTCTTATAATAAAAACTTTCAGAAAATTGTGTGATTATGACTGCTGGATTTAAATACATATATTAAAAGGGCAAGAATAAAAAGAGAATTCTGGGTAGGAAGCCACTGCAATGATCCTGGTGACGGAGGTGGTAACTTAGACTAGAGTGAGGAGCAGATGGATTTAGAACATCATTATGAGGCTAGAGAATAATACTTGGTGGTGAAGAGAATCAAAGTGACTTCATTGATGAGGTTGGGAAAACAAACTGGCGAAAGGCATATGAACAGTGGATGTTTCATTATACATCTTCCATGTACACACAAGGTAAATGGTGACATGCATATCCAAGTTGTAGAACACAGCTTTATTTTTTCAGAACTGGGGACTGAACCATGATGTTTCTATAAGAATGAGGTTAGCCTGTATGAAGTGATGTAGAACAAGCCCCATAATATTCAGGGAGAAAAAAAAGAAACACAAAACAGAGTATACAGTATGACTATATAGAAGGATTTTTTAAGGCTACATGGGCATGTTTGTATACATCAAAACAGATGCGGAAGGCTCCACAACTTACAACAATGGCTATCTCCTAGGAAGAGAACAGAATTAGAGGAGGGGTACCAGGGAGTTTTCAAGTCTGTCCTCCTGTTTACCCCTGGCTGCCATTTCAAAATGGAACCCTTGTTGGTTAGGAATTCCGTGCCATTTCCAGCTCTGTCTAAACCAATCGCGGCCATCTCATTTCCCAGCCAGGGCCCAACCCTGGGAATTAAGCAGTTCCTGATATAGCAACTCCCCAGGCAGCGAATCAGCCATCTCTGGCCTCCTGGAGTCCCTGAATGGTAGTCAATGCTGAGGCAGCTCTTCCTGACCCTAGGAATCATGTAAGAGCTCTGAATAGCCCGTGAAAACCCCCACGTAAACTTTCCTTGAGGTGAGTAACTGTCACCCCCTAACCTGCACCTCAAAGTTCTCTCCACATACACTGCTTACAAAAGCACCTATCCAAAACAGTCTCCCTCCTGTGATTCTCTTATGCCCTCAGAATTGCTGGCAAGTAAAGGAGGTATAAAGCCAGTTGTAGGATATTTCCTTTGAAAAACACACATATAGTCTGACTCCTATACCTTTGTTAGGTGATATCTATCATATCACAGCATCTAAGACAAAGCCTCTAAATTAATAGGGTTTACATGTACTACATAAAGCAAAACACAGTACTGGATAAATAAACATGGTCATTGGGGACAGCTAATGTCTCCACCCTAAATGCTGACCCTAGCTACTCCAGGCCTGGCGATGAAGTCAACAGAGGGTATTTTAAGAACTTGCAATCACACAAAAATGGCAACTGTTCTCCCATTAGTTTGCTGTATTAGGGAATAAGGCGTGTAGGAGGATGTTGTGTGTATGCGCACACACGTGTGTGTATTCTACTGAAATGCTTTTTCCTAAGCCTCTTTTGATGTACTTAAAGAATACCAGCAATGCAAAAACTATAAATTCTCAAACAAACACAACAATTTTGAAATGGCTTCCATTACCGTCAAACCAGCCAGAGAACTCTGAAAACTCCACGCACTAATTAAGTTGCTAACATTTATTAAATTCCAAGTATGAGTTCAAGATCTTCACGGTTAACTCTACTCACCTCACTGGCTATCTCAGCAGCTTTCATGGCATGCTGCATTTCCAAGGTGTCGGTGCCAACTTGCATCCCCTTCCCTTTAATTATTGACTCCAGGTCCTTCCTGTATTCTTGCTATAAACGATAACATTTTACAACATTCAGACATTCCATAGACAAACATGCATCTGCAGTCACTGATAGTAAAAAATAGCTAAACATTTAAAAAGAAAGAAGCACACAGCCTCGCTTGTACTCTGACTAATCACCTAGAACTAAGTTTTCTGAACTGCATAGAACTATAGTACTATTCTTTTTGAAGAAGGACGTAAAGCTCTGAAGAGTCTCAGTGTCAAGACAATTACCAGGAGAGAATCTTCATGGAAGATTGTCCCAGAGCAGATGGGTAAGGACGTGGGTGCAAGTGGGTTGGCGTTATAGAAAGAGGGCTGACTCTGGGGCCAGGACATTCAATAGCTGTGTGGCCCTGGGAATGTTTCTTACCATTTCTGGGTTACTCATCTGTGAAGTGGGGATGATAACAGATGCAGGAAGGGTCACTGAATCCACACACGACACAGAGCCTAGCACACAACTCAATACTGAGAGCTTTCTTTGGTGTTTCGTCACTATGCCCCCACACCACTCCATCCTTCTAATAAGGACTGATTTGTTGCGACTCCTGTTATCTTATTGCCATTCATCTGCATCTGGATGGACTCTGCCATGGAGGGTTTAACACAATCTTTCCAAACATTATTGACAAGTGATGACAAGACTAAACAGTGACTGGAGATAGCATTGCAACAAAACTGTGGACTTCGGAACTATGTGAAAACGATATTAGACAAAGACACCTCAGGAGATATCTGATATTTATGATTGACTGGCATCCATTCCTGAAAAGCTCCAATGATTTTCTGCAGAGAATTACCTCTACCCTTGTCAATTCATATGCTTTTAGGGGACTGATTTTAAATACCCTCCTCTCTTCCTCCTCCTCCTCCCCCCTCCCTCTTCCCCTCCTCCTTTCTCCCTCCCCTTCCTCCTCCCCCTCTCCCTCTCACTCCCCCTTTCTTTCTCTTTCATTTACTTTGGGACAGGGTCTTGCTAAATCACTAATCTGTCCAGATTAGGCTCAAATTTGCAATCTTCCTGCTTCAGTCTCCCAGAGTGCTGGGGATACAGGTGTGCAGCACGCCACCGGGCTTTCCCCACATGTGTTTTTAATTGCACTAAAATGCTTTTAAAATCTTTCATCTATTTAAAGAGTATAAATACAGCCAAGATTAATACGATTTTTTAAAATTACATATAAATGCAGACCACTTTGTCCTTGGGGCACTGTTAAGTGACACAGGAAGTTAACTAAACCGATGAGTCATTGTGAAAAGCCACTCAGCACACTGCATTCTTCTGACCCCAGGCACAATGGCTGGGTCGGTGGTGAGCACAGAACAGAATTGATCCAAGCAGATGCAATCCTAGGACCCTAAGTGGAGCTCCACGAACCAGACATTCACTTCCCACTGGGATAACTGGCCATAGACAATGAGTTATTCTGCTGTCAGCACAGGTCATCGCATCACAACAGCTGCCCAAGAGTGAGGGCAACAGAGATGACAGAACCGCCAGATGAAGGAAGAGGGATTTCCTTTGACCACCAGAAGGAAACTGGATCTTGGACTTTTCTATCCTATGGATTAACATTTCCCTTTATCGCATAATCCAGTTCAAATCGGTTTCCGTTCCTAACTAAGGCGGTTGTCATCACTACCACCCTCTTCATCATCACCATCGTTACAGTGCAACATACGGAGACAAAGCTTCAAGCTTTTTGACTGCTAAATTCAGCTAGATTCTCCTCAAAGCATGGTGCCAGCATATGACATCAAAATAATGGCAAAATATGAGGAGTAAGAGATTGAAAGTACTTTGGAGACACTTCATTTCTTCTATAAATTTCACAGACAGTGAGAAGTGGCCACTTTCCTTTGATGAAAGGGTTTCACTGAGCAGCTGGGTACGGTGGGACAGCAAGCGGGCTCAGAGCAAGACGGCATGAACTTTTCAACCACCGTTACTGACAGATCATGAGAACAGACCTTCCTAATCTTTAACTTTTTACATGCTTGAAAGATCAAGTCAAATCTCATAAAACTATCATGCCCCATTATACAGATTTTCTCAAAAAGGAGCAATACAAAAAAAAAAAAAAAAAAAAAGGAGCAATGGTCTTTTTCTCCCACACTAATGTAAGAGAAGACCCTACTAGGACATAGTTGATTGTTATCATCAACACCTGTCAATTGCGTGATGTATATAAACTTTGCTGAATATTTTTTGGTAAGGAAATCAACTGAAAATGCATACCCTGTAAGTTGTTAAATAAATGTACTCACCTCACTTGCTATCTCAGATGCTCGTTTTGCTCTTTGAATATCAAGAACTTCTGAATTAAGCTCCATTCCTCTCCCTTTTATTTCATTTTCCAAATCTTTTTTATATTCTTTCTATAAGATAAGGATATGACCGTTCAAAGCTTATGAGAAATTAACTATTTTATGTGTTGTCTAGAGATCACAGACAGGAGAAGTTACGACTAGGAAGGAAGAAATTAGACTGCTGAATATTCATGAATATTCTTTCCCACCGAAATTTCATTTTCTCGTCTGTCAAACTCAGAGAGGCATCCAATATTATCAGTCTTTTCTCTTTATCATTCCTCCCAATGTTTTGCAGCCAACATGCATTTGTGAAAAAGATGTCTTTCCTCTATACGGTAAGGAAAATCTTAATATTTGCATATTGCTTATTTGAGGTTTTTTAAAGGTCTATGAGAAAGGAATTACCAAAAGAATATAGTTGGAAAGGAATGGAAAATTACACAATCAAAAGCATTGCTGTGGCCAAAGATTTTTTTTAAGTTTCCATTTTATTCAAAGATTTGTAAAACCAAATCATTTCCCACAGATTGATAATACGTAGTTTGAATTTCTCCTTTTATAGTACTGTATTTCAAGTAGCTCCAAATGCCTGACAAATGCTTCTACAGACCTTGCTACTCTGTCGTAGTTGCTTGTTATCTTCCTTAATTGCACTATAAAATAATTAGTCTCTTCTTCCCATTAAACTAAGTTTCATTTATGACTTGTTTGCCAGATGAAAGATGAAATTCCCTTTAATGATAAGAAACCAGGTTCCAGTTAATTCTAGACAGCATTTCATGCTATTTCCCTTTCGTCCTGTGTAATTAAATTAGCGTGTTCTCTTTTCAACTAATAGCTTACTATGCACGGTCATGGTCTACCCACGATCTTGGAAATGGCTCTGAGTCAAATGACCTGGGTGACAAAGCTCTTTCATTTACTTGGTCATATGACTCAGCCCTGATTTCCATGTGAAAGATGAAAATAAAAATGTGTGTTCTACCAATGTCAAAGAGCAGTAGAAGGAATCAAATGACATTAATTTTAAAAATTGATACTTTGGACACTCTAAGTGGCAATGTCAATGTAAAATCCACAAAGTAAGGAAAGCAGTACCTACTTATAGCTCAATGCTTACACTTAAAAGGGGAAGTTATAACTTAATTAAATCACAAGTGCTTGATTTAAAGTTAGACATCTCTATAATTTAAAGATTTTAAATCTTAGTTGTTATGGACTAAATGTTCATGTCCACTCGTAAGTCATATGTTGAAGTCCTAACTCCCAATGTAATGCTATTTTGGTGGTGAGAAATGCCTTTGGGAGATGATCAGGTTTAGGTGAGGCTTTGAGCGTGACTCCCATCATGGGATTAATGGCTTTGTTGGACAAAAACAAAGTTTTCCTTCTATGAGGACACAGCAAGAAGGCAGCTGTCACACCAGGAAGAAAGATCTCACACCAGGAACCAATCCCTCGGCACCTCAATCTGGAGATTTCTACTCTCCAGAATTATGGGAAATGTCTGTTTGTGAGCTACCCAGTCTATGGTATTTTGTTATAGCATCCCCTAGCACGCCAATACAACAATCCTATCCTGTGCATCTGTCCTGAACCAATAAATGCACATTGTTATCAACTTAATCTTGCTATATTCTGTTTAATGGAAAAATTCCTAGCATTATTACTATTACGTTACCAGTTTTCAAATAATTAGCCATATTTTCCCCCCTTATATGAGAGGAATAGAAGAAAAAGGCAATGGCATGTACTAGTCATTTATGGATCTCAAAATAGTTCTTACATTGCCATCTGTGTCCCAGTCATAAAAAGACACCCTTTTAAAAATTCATGTGAGCACCATATACTTTTTAAACAGAAGACAGTAATAGTAAGAAGTTGCCATCTGATTCATCTTCAATTTCAAAAAAAAAATTTATTGAAACTAGAAGTGAAAAAATAGAGTAGCAAGAGTAATCTTACAGAAATTACATGCCTATGTCAGGAAGCACCATTTCAGAGTGACTCATGTTAAATCTCTGAGCTCAGTGATACAGTTCCGGCCAGCTGACATTTGTTTATTAAAAAGCGCCTGCTGATGTGCTTCTCCATAGGAACTATGCTTCAATTTCTTTTGCTGACTGAAGACACTTCTTCCTGAAATCATTTCCTCAGTTCAAAAATTCACCTGAAGTGGAATTTCACTATTTTTTAAAATATATGTTCCATTTGTTTGATGTATCATTATTTCATTATATTTATCCCATTATTTTTAACCCAATTAAACTCAGGAAACACTTTCTGTTTAAGCAGAGTTGGAAGAGCTTCAGGTTACTTTTCAGCCATTTAAAAAAACACATTTAAGACAGGTGGACCACGAGCACAATATTTTTAATTGTCAAGTTTGAAAACCTTAATGTTCAACAAATTCAATATATTGAGTTCTAAGCCAAAATGTATCTTTATGTTTGGGGAGAAAGATGAAATGAAAAATGGGCACAAGTTCCTCAGTTCTAAATGCTAATTACATAATTTCCCCACCATGAGGATTTACGTATAATATATCCTAGCTCCAGACTGCCAGCACCTCATTTCTGATATCAAACCTCGTAACAATACACAAAGAAGCTACCAGAAAAGCTGATTCTAATATATCTTTATAAGAACTAAATTTGAAATAATCAAGCTTGCCCCTCTATATTTAAAATATATTTTTAAAAAACTAATTGCTATGACATTATAAAACTCAATGCCGTTAGAGCTTCTGAGCTACAATCAAAAGACAAAACCACAACATTTTTCAAGTTTTTCCAGGAAAGCCAGGTAACTTTTTTCCTTAACTTTAAATAGATGTGTCAACACACACTTGACAGTGTAAAAGTTAATATCTCAAACACTCAATTAGTAGAGAATTGTTCAGTAAAAATGTCCTGGGTTATTTCTTTGGATTTCATTTTCTCATATTTAATAGAAAATAGCAAGAGCCTACCTCCCTCAGAAGGTTGGTGATGTACTTTACATGTAAAAATTCAGGAGTCTTGTCTAAATCCAGTGAGGACCTTCCTTTAATCTCCTTCTCAAAATCCTCTTTGTAAACTTTCTGTAAAACGAGACCATATCATTTTAGATGCAGGAAATCCTAGTGACTATTGAAAACATATCTTCCCTAAAGAGTTACAGACATCCTATTTTGGTGTTTCATGTATGTCTACGTTCATAGCAGCTAATAGTAGCTGAATCTTGGGAGCAGCCTTTATGTCCAACATCAGAAGAATGCATAGAGAAAATGTATTTACATGCCATGGAGTACTACTCTGCCATAAAGAAGGATAAGCTTGAGCCATAGGTAGGAAAATGGATGCACCTTGAGACCATAATGTTAAGTGAAATAAATCAGACACACAAGCTTAAGACTACATGGTTTCACTTATATGAGAAACCCAAGTTATAAGTAAAGAGAAAAATAAAAGTAGATAACAAGAAGTAGGAGGTGATCTTTCTCAAAAGATAAGGGAATAAAGAAATATAGAGGGGGAAAAGGGAAAGGAATAAAGAAATGTAGAGGGGGGGGAAAGGGAAGGGAATGAAAAAAGGAATTAAGATGTGTTTTCTACATGTTCCAACTCCACACCAGGAATGTAAATATTATACACAGCAAACAGGTACTCATAAAAATTAAAACAAGAAAAGACATGACAGCAAGAATTCCCAGAACAAATTGATGTTTTGTTGTATAATTCTACCATCTCAGACTCTTAGTCATAGGAAAATAATTCCACCTTTATTCTAAATTTCATGATTCTATCAAATAGGAGCAGAAACATCAAGGATCATCACAACCCTCTAACAAATCGTTCTGCACGAAGCTGCTTAGCATCCTACTGGTCTGATTCAGGTCAACCCACTCTAGGGCAGGAACCAAGAAGTATGGCTATTTGACTAGATAATCTGATTGGTTCACTCCAAAAGAAGTAGATCCAACCCCCTGGAAAAAAATCTGGGGCATTGAGATCCACTTAAACCAAAGTAGCATTCACGGCCACAGTGCCTTCATCCTTCCCATTCCCCATCTTTTGTGAATTCAGTAAACACCATTTCTAAAATGCAGTGGAGGGGCATTAGGGGAGGATTGGTCATTTTTGTTTAATAATTTTGACATTGAGAATTTCTCTACAAATTAAGGAATTCGACATGGATCAGGTTACACTTTAAGGAAGATCTTACTTGGAACTGATAAATCATCCTCCCCAACCCCTACCTCTTGGTTCTGGGGATTGAACCCAGGGCCTCGGCACCTTCTCCCTGAGCTACATTCGCAGGCCTCTTCATTTTTTATTTTGAGACACAGTTTCACCTAGTTGCCAGGCAAGACTCAAACTTGTGATCTTCCTGTTTTGGCCTACCAGAGTTCTGGAATTAGAGGCACATGGCACCACATTTGGCTTAGTAAATCCTTTTTTAGTTGAGAGTTCACCATAAGAACTGAGAAAGGGATGCCAATGGTGGCTGTGGAAAGACCTGGCCCTATGACAACAGCTGCCCTTCATCTGCCCGGCCACCCTTGGACTAAGATTCTCAAAATTCTAGCACTGGGGCTACGCCTGTGAAAATCAAGTTTTATGACTGAAAACACAGTCTCTATAAATCATAAAAATACGCACTTGTGCAAAATATTTACTAAGCAAAGACCAGATTAACTAGCCAAATATTTTATTCTGATGACATCATATAGATGATATAAATAAATGAATTCTGAATGAGATCATTATTCCCACAAAGTGAGAGGTTATGCTAGGTTTATTATGCACTTATTACAGAGAAGGTAACTGCTTGGATAAGGAAATTCTCCAAACCATGAGAGAAAATGAAAGAAGCATGCCGCTCCTCTCTTAGCATCGGTGTACGGCTACAGTAAGTATCCTGCGAACTTCATTAAGGATTTTCTCTGGGAGGCTTTGGAATTAAAGAACTCTAGATATCCCAAAAACAAAAATGAAAAGTTTTCCCTTTTTTAAATTTGGAACTCAGCAAGATAATATGGTTATAAGGCTGAGGGAATTTTCAGGCTAAGGGGACTCTACAAAGTGTTATATAAACATATGTGTCTGTATATTTACTTATATTTGATATTTCACTTCAAAAAGCACTTAATGCTGGAAAGCATTACTGAAGCATGTCATTAGGGAAAGGCAACTATGACCGGAACTAGCCAAGGGACGGCTGAGGAAAAAGGAAAACACGCCTCATCCCTCAGGAATGAAAAGCACCTCCGTGACGGCTGACTCTCCTTCTGTCCCTTCACTGGTTCTATATGTAAAGGCATTTCCACAGCAAACTTTCTGTAAGACTCTTGGATATTTTATTTTTCTAGGCTTCAGTGGATAAATGTGGTCCAAAAGTATTTTCTCCTGCAAGAGTCTGCCCTCCTCCAGCTCCGCTGGGCAGAGGGGTAAACGACTGAGGAGCCTAAAAGAACCTTCGACTTGTGGCTACAAGGAAAGGGCGAATCTGTCTCACTGGACAGGAGGGAAAGAATCAACTGGGTGAAGAAAAAGCAAAGACTCTCACAAGAGATGTGGAGCTAAAATCCACAATCATAAATTATCACCATTTCTAGTTCAGAAACATGGCATCAGAATGTGTTAACCATGAACTGTAAGGCCCAGGATTTCTTGGCGGGGAGGAGAGTTAACTACTTAGATTATGGAAAAAGAAGGAACCACAGGACAAGAATGATATAAGGGTCCTCAGTGTGAACGTTTCTGTAGTTAGAGACCAACAAAGGGAAGGAGGGAACAGAGACGCAGTGTGCAGGGGACCACGGGGAAGACAAAGGTGATGTCTCCCTCCTGACACACCTCAGGGATATCTGAAGATGGGTTATGACCTCTCAACAACTAGCAAATGCTGACAAAATTCCTGCCCTAGGTGTTTTCCAGACATTATCACTGCCTCAGGTTTCGATCTTGTTACTGGAGAAAGGCCTGACCATGGAGCACAGTCAACTGGTTGGTACTCATATTAACCATTATTTCTGCCCTTTGGAAGTAATAACCCAGGTGTTCCCATAGAATGTGGATGTTGGCTACTGACACAACCTTATATCCATATGTCTGGTTCCCTGAACAGAAGAGAAGAAGAAATCTCACTAGGACAAAGAAAACCCAGTCTGAGGAATATCTGTATGTAACTCAGCGATATCTTAGTCTAGGAACAAAGTAAGTAGGAAAATAATTCAGCTATTCACCGAGAAAGGAAAAATAAATCAAATAAGTCTGTAAAAAAACAAGGAATTGTGGATGGTTTTAACTCCATCCTAAAGCACTGGAATTTACTAGATATGTAATTTTATTTAACAGAATTAATGTCAGTGGATATATTATCAACCTAGAGATAATACCTTCCTACTGCCATTACTTTGAGGATTAAATGAGCAGACATATATAAGGCTCTTAGTATATTACCCAGCCTAGAATGAGAATTTAATAAATGTTGGTTCTCCTTTATTGCAAGTGGGAAATTAGTAAAGCAACCAGCCCTTCATTTTCTTTTAGCATGTAGATATTTGCCATAGTTTTACAGCGGTAAAATCTGAAAATGTCAGTTCTATAATCATGGAATCGTGACTAAGAGCTTTAAGAGCTTATCTGGCTTGATAATCATATTTACCAAATGAGAAAAATTAAGGTCAACGTCAAAGCCCCAGACAAGACTCCGGGCTGTGGGCTCCAGGCCAAGAATGCAGGTTCCGGAATCTGCAGAGATGTGCTTCTCCCTCTCAGCCCACTAAGCATTCCCAACCACTTTCTAGTCCTTTCTGAGTGACAAAACAAGTCCCATACACATTGAACAACTAATAACAAGTCCAGTGGGCTACCTCACTTTGCATCCTTTGAGCTTCCTTTGAAGCTTGATATGATGGAGTCTCAACAAATTCAAGCATTGACTTCCCCTTATTTTTCTCATATTCTTCTTTATATTTAACCTTTATAGAAAGAAATAAGAATATTAAAATGAGGGTTGGGGGTGTAGCTCAGCGGTACAGTGTGTGCTTAGCATGTGTGAGGTCCTAGGTTCAACACCCACACCAAAAGAGAAAGTAAAAAGAAAGAACACTACATAAAAAAAATCAACAGCCCTATACAGATTAAAGCAAAATAAATGAGGATCCAAACATATCATACTGTTTTCTAAAACCAAGTTATTTGAGCTATTTAGGATGATCACTGAATTCCCTGACAATGATACACAAAGAAAGTAAGTGGGTAATATATAAAAAGTTTTAAGGGATAAAAGCACAACTAAATAATGAACTTGCATAAAGGACTATATAAAGTCTCTTGTCAAATAATATCGTGCGGGGCTGGGGATTTAGCTCAGCGGCAAAGTGCCTGCCTGGCAAGCGCAAGGTCATGAGTTTGGTTCCTGGTACCAGAAAAAAACCAAAAAATATATATATATATATCGTGCATATACATATATACAATATGGAAGTACATAGTCCAGGTATTTGACAAGATATATATGGGGGAAGGGGAAGGAAGAAGGAGGGATCCTATTAAGAAAATACAGGTTTGATAGCCTATCTTTCTGTCAAAAGAACTGCTACGTTTTTCTATAAGGCACTGAATGAAACATAGACACAGACCTTTGATGTGATTTCTTTTCTCTTTACTTTCCATTACTTAACCATATCATATTGTGAATTAGTATTTCAATGATGGCCAGTCTTCATCTTATTTTAGTTTATAAAATGAATGAAATTTTCTATGTAAAAACAGGAGCTAAAATTATATGTTAGCCATCAGAGTGGTTGACTTTTTGGGCAATATACCTTTTTAAACTAAGTTGATTAACTGTGATCAGGATTACCTTATCCAGAAATGCATTTTCATAAAAATTCTTAGCTATAACAACTTCAGGAAATTATTGTTCAAGTTTTATAATAATGAGGATGTTAATGATAATTTAAACCAAAAGTTTTCAATGCTTAGAACTCTGTGATGACTGGAAATATAAATAACTTTTAAATACCCATTAGTAGACATATTTTGATTGCAGAAAAGAATGACCATCAAAAGTGTTGGAAGCATAACAGCATACTATTTTAGGGTAAAGTTTGGTGAAGAAAAAAATGAAATGAAAATAACTGAAAGAAATTAAAATGTATATTTCCAAACATTAAAGAGGAGCTAGTTTGTATATTTTTCAAATAAATGCAGGTAGGCATACAATTACACTTCACAGAATACATTTTGGAAAGTTGTGTGAATTTTTATCTTAGCAGATGCTAGAAATGGCATCTTCAGCAACTAAATTCAGAACAAAAAAAAACAGATATCCACTTTAAAGTCAGATAGGAAGATAGTTTTTAAAAGTCTTTTCTAAGTCACATAGGATTTCATAGTGGCAAAACACATTAATTAAGGATATACTGGCAAGACTGTTTTCCCTTTTCAATAACATGTGTAAGAGCACTGAGAAATTATACTAATAAGCTCTGCATCTGGAAAATTTTGCAGCTCAAAATAATGAGTCAGATGTAAATCCTGAGCTTTGACCACAGTTTAACTCCCACATTTGAAGTTCTTAACTAGGTGACAGAACTGTTACTTTATGAAAGACCTTTTTATTGAAACATGGGTCAAGCTTTTCTGATCCCATAAATAGGAAATGGTGCCTGAGGTTTCCCGAAGCAACGTTTATGTTTTCAGGCTCTGTTCTTTTCAGCAACTGCGCCTTCTCAGTTGAGGCGCCCAGCAGTGGGTGTCACAGTGGTGACAACGGTCCTGCAAGGCCAGCGGGTGCCCAGTGGGTGCGTACCTGACTCTGGAGTGCGGCCACTCCTCTATGGTGCAGGTGTTCCGAGGCGTCGGCGTCAAAATGGTACGTGCCTTTGTTTTCCTCGAACAGCTTTTTATATTCTCGCTAAAATACAGAACATGGAGACCAATTTAGGGTAGAAGAGACTGATTAGAGTCAAGAATGCTTATGAAAGCAAACAAAAACACAAACCACCCCAGGGGACAGCACTAGTAGCAAGTCTCCGTCAGCAATCAGCTGGCACCAAGATTCCTGACACTGAGAGAAACAGGCAGCACAAGATAGGGCAGCGCGGCCAGCACAGGGAGGATCCTGAGGACAGGCAGCTGTGAACACGGCATAAGGGTCACCCACAGCAGCAAAAGCGGCAATGCAGAAGCCTGTGGATCAGCAGTGAGAGGGCAAAGGGCAGGAAGAGGAGGAAAGAAAGAGACAAAAAGGAAGGAAATTAGAGGAAAGGAAGAAAAAAGTTATCTCTGATGGTTTGGCCGTGAGGATTGTAGTCACAAGGAAAACAAGACAATGAGAAATGGGTCAGCTGATTTTCCTAGTTCCAAAGGGTAAGAAGTACCCGGAAGAGAAATTGAGGAAACCAGGTATAGCTGTTTGAATTTTTAAGAGGAAGAACTTGGATTGATGCTACTACTGACACACAGGTGAACAGGATACTTAGGAAGCCCCGATGGGCAGCACGCCCAGTTTGTCAGCAGCAGGACTTGAAACACAATGGGCAGTAATAAAGCCAAACTGCTTCAAGACTTTTATCCCTGGAGAGTGGACAGGTAGTTATTTTGCCCCATTTGGAAAAGACTTCAGAAGTGAACAGTAGCTGCCAGACACTCAAGGCTACAGAGACTGAAGAAGCTGATTGGTTGCTCGTTAGGCAATGGGCTCCACAGATGGAACGGTGAAAGGGGAAAAGAACCGGCACCAGGGATGGAGAGACAGGACATCCAGCCGACCTGCAGCTAGAGAGTTGCTGCTCCATGTAGGACAAAGCAATGATCCACAGAGGCAACCAGGAAGCAAAGACTTGGGTCCCCCAAACCCTAACCAAAATAAAACGAGGGAGAAAAGCACCAAAAGAGCAACATTCACATAGCATGTCTTGACCAAAGAGAACAACTTCTAAACATTGGATTTCTACTAATTTAAGAAAAAAAAACTCAGATGTGGTGGCACACGCCTGTAATCTCAGCACTCAGGATGCTCAGGCAGGAAGATTACCGTGAGTTTGAAGCCAGCCCAGGCTACATGGTGAGTTCAAGGCCAGCCCGTACTATACAGTGAGACCCTGTCTCAAAGAAAAAACCTTGAAAAATGATGATGTACTTAACATACTTTATAATGTGACTAGAAGTTATTTTATAATATATATTTATAAAATAATCATGACTTGAAAACGGTAAGTTAAAATATGTTATTGTTTAAAATCAGAACTAAACACTACTAGGGTATTGTATTTGGAATAATGGAGAGATACTAAGAAAAGATGGGTAAATATTGTTCTCAACACAATAAGCTATTTCAGCTATGAAGAAATTCAGAAAATCCTATTTTAGAAAACAAAAACAAAACCTACTTGAACTGAAATCTGCAAAAGACATTTCCAGTACATGAATTTGTACTTCTGTATATATAATAGTCTCTGTTGCCGCCTAGTGGCAGTGATGGAGTAACACCATATATATATATATATATATATATATTTTAAATCTATGTAAAGTTGTAAGAGAAACTGAAAACTTTAAGAGCTCCATTTTCCAGGGGAAAATGTTTCCTTAAAAATGTAATTAGTATGACTGTACAAATGTGTAAGGCATTAATTTCACCCTACGCCCTACATTTTTTCAGTAGGAAAATTTATTGGAGAGTAGGAATGGGGAATGGGGAATAGGAATAGCTCCCAGGAGATAGAAGGGGTCCCAAATGAATGGGTTGCCCCACTCTAGATGTTAAAATAAAAAACATTCTGATGTACACCAAAGACCTCTATCTAGAAGTCTTTAAGGAACAGCTATTTATAACAAATTGACAACTAATCTTGTCAGAAGTCTTTACTGACTAATCTCTTATTCAACCTTTTACTAAAGTTAAATTGTCTAAATCAAGAAAATTTCTATCTTTTTACATTAAGATTTAAAAGGCAACTTTTCTAATGCATGGTAACTTTGAGCCAATGTATCACTGTATAATTTTAATATGCAGGTGCTTTGGAGTAATGCAATTTTTTGTCAGTCAAACTTTCTGACACTTAAAATAATCATCCAGCCACAATTTTATATCTATGATCTATATCTAAAACAAATATCTATGATCTAAGCAAGAATATTACTTGAATGAAGATTTTTATCTGCACAAAATTTTCAGTGGAATACAGAAGTGGAACAAGCCGGGCATAGTGACACACACCTGTAATCTCAGGACTCTGGGAGGCTGAGGCAGGAGGATCATAAGTTCAAGACCAGCCTGGGAAACTTAGTGACTTAGTGAGACCTGTCTCAAACACAGAATAAAGATGAGCTGAGAATGTAGTTCAGTAAGAAGACCTTGGGTTCAATCCCAGTACTATAAAAAAAGAACAAGAAAAAAAAAAGCTGGACATATGATTGCGATGCTTTTTCTCCACTGAGGAGACGCTGAAAATAATTTATGTTAAATTCTAATTTTTTCATTATTATTATAAAATAAAAGTCAACAATCTCAAAAAATAAATAGACTGCTAGTGGTGTTCAAGTCTGACATGCAATGTCCCCACAAGGCTCATGTGTTACCAGCTTGGTTCCTAAAGCAGCAACACTTAGAGATGAGACTCCAGGAGGTGACTGGACCCTGAGGACCCTGACGTCATTGACGGACTGATCCACTAAGGAGGGATTAGTGATGGGCTGGGAGGAGATGCCGGAAACACAGGACCGAGAACCTGGTTGAAGGGGGTGTCCTAGGGACAGGGCCTTGGAGACCATGTCCTGCCTCTGGCCCATTTCTTCCTCCTCCTCTCTCTCTGCTTCCGGTTGGCACGGAAGTGGGCAGCTTTCCTCCACCATTCCCTTCCGCCCTTTCCGCCATGATGTTCTGTCTCATCCGTGCCCAGCAATAATGGGGCCGGGTGATCTGGTCCAAAATCCTTGGCCAAAACAAGTCTGTCCTCATTTTAAGTTGTTTATTTATAAACAACTGTAGATATGGTACTTCCAAAGCTGAAGTGAAGCTGCTTCTCACCACTTCAGTTTGGGAGCTAAGTTTTGAGTACAGACTTTCAAGTTGATGCCTGTGGGTGCATCCACTGAAACAACTACCCTCACTTTTTCTCAAGCCTGGCCCAACATACACTTCTCCACCGAATCCATGCCTATGCAGCAAATTCAGACAATTTTGAGTGAAGAAGCCTTTATTAAAATAATGGAAATTATTCAGAGTCAAAGCGGAGCCCACCATCACCATGGGGCACCCTGAGAGGAACAAAACGGAATCAGAAGCAACACGGGGTCGTGAGTCAGGAGAACCCGCCAATGTGGGGTCCATGGGCATGAAGGGTTGATGAGACACGTGGCCACTGAACACAGAGCTTTTTGCCAGGACATGAAGTGCTCACCTTCTACTCCTAGTTGCCTTGGAAGAGCACACAGATGGCATCACGAGACTAAAAGCATGGGGACAGTGAAATAGAGGCATCTGTACAGTTTATCTTCAGAGAAACTGAAATTCAGACTAAGACCATTTTTATGCTATTGAAGGCACACTAACTACCAGATTCTCTTCTCTGGCCTGCATAAAAGATCCCTGATTCACAAACCCGAACTTCCAGTGGCTTCAAATACGATGCAGAAGGAGAGAGAAGACGGACAGAAAGAATAATTGCAGAGTCCACCCCGAAGATGCCCAATCTTATCTGGTCTTTGAAGAAAGAGCACTTCCCCACCTCCTGGAAGTTCAGTTGCATTCAAGAGATACTGAGACGCTACACAGCAAGAACTCCCCGGGTAAAAGGGCAGCCTTGGTGGGGTTTACCCAAGCAGGTCGCTACTGCTCAATGAGTTAGTCATCGGGGGTGGAATGGTGCCGGGGACATCTAAGGAAGCAGGTGAGCTCATGAACAAGGCAGGCAGACTGGCTTCGCAGAGCTACACAACAAGGACAGTTGCCGTCAACAACCCACTTACTCCACTGAGTATTTTGCTGGCTTTCAAGGCATGGTCTAAAAACAACAAATTTGGGAGATCGGAAACCGGGTCGTGTATATTTTCAATGTCTTTCTTGTAATTCACCTATGAAAATAACATGAGACAAAAATACCATCTAGGAGAAGAAAATTTGCTTTTGCAATATTACCATGATTGTTATTATTTTTAATACAACATAAAAGTAGCATTATCATTTAGTGGTCAATGGACAGATGGGTTTACAGGCAACCACTAGATGGTGCTGATTCACTACTGAATGAGTAAAAAGTTTTCTTCCTAGGGACTTGATATTTTAATTCCTTTACTGTTTTCATATTCGGAAAGGATGCTGTCAACAAAATCAAGCAATTATACAGGAACCTGACTTTCAAGAAATAAAGAAATGATAGGTATGGTGGTGCATGCCTGTAAACCTAGCATTCTGGGAGGCTGAGCCAGGAGGATCACAAGTTTGAGCTCTGAAAATTTAGCAACTTAATGAGATTCTGTCTCAAAATTTAAATTTTTTTTTAAAAAAAGAGCTGGGGATGTAGCTCAGTGCAAAGGCTCTGGTTTATTCCCCAGTACAACAAAAGATTTAAAAAAAAAAAAAAAGGAAGAAGGAAGGAAAAATAAAAAAGGGAGAAGAGCCACTTTATTCTTCAGCCATTACTGAAATATTTCAATTTTGCTTTCTGGTGATTTTAGCTCTTTGGTATTTTTCCTTCTGTCGCCATATAGACCTGTTTTGCTAGGGGGTTTGTTTCTACAAGCTGATTTGGAAACATCACACTAATAATAAAATTATAAAATATTAATAATAGCAAGCATTTTGAACACTTACTATATGCCAGAGACTTCTCTACAAATGTGAGGTATTTAATCTCCACCGCAACCCAGCAGGTGGGTACTTTAAGCACACCCAGGTTACAAAAGAGAAACTGAGTCACAGAAAGATAAAGGATAGAAGCTATAGAGTAGGATTTAAATTGAGGCAATCTGACTGTAAACCATGAGCTTTCAGCACTAGGCTCAACGTTCCTTTAAGTAAATTTCATCTCCTGTTCCTTTACATTTATCACACACACACACACACACACACACACACACACACACACACAATCAAATAAAAAATCATCCTGATATTCCCATGAGTCCTAAGACACAAAAACTCAAATTTCAATTGTTGGGAATAAGTAAAAGTTGGTTACTGAACACAAACAATACCTTCCAAACATTAATGAAAGCTAAATAAACTAATTCTCAAGGAGACAATGGGAACTGAAAGGTTTAAATGATCTAACAGGGTAATATTCTGATAATATTTAATTTTCATTCTTGAAAAGGTTCTCTGAACAATTTCAACTCCAACAAAGCAATCAATTTTTTCAGTGTTTCTGTTTTCCATTCTCCTTACTTCTACTAAGAATTTAAAACATTATTTCTTATCAAAGGAATCCTGATTATCTTCTAAAACATGAAATAAAAGCAAATCTTACAAGAAGTATTTAATAGCCTGTACATGAGAGATATGAAAGAAATTATGTCATTAACAGTATAATTTCTAAACATTTCTTTATAATAAACTACCATATATCAGGTAGTACTTTATAATAAACCCAGTGTCATGGGTATAATTGAGAGTTAATTATTGTCCTACCTACTAATTTGTGATAATACTGTTTTTCTGCAAAACTCTATAATCTATTTCTAGTCTTATTCAGACATAATAATTTTATTTGTAATACTATTCCTGCTTTTTACCTAATTAGTAATCAGCAGCCATTAATAGTAAATTATAATAATATATTTTTTCTAAAAAACAAAAGCTTCAGGAAAGTATGCTTTCATGTTTTCAACTACAAATTAGTTGGAAATTATATGATCTTGATTAAGTATTAGTAATTATAACAGTTAGTTCTGAAGTAACATGAATCAAAAGATATTGAAAGTAATTTTCTGTGAATTACAACTTACACCACTCGCCAGCGCGGCCGCAAGTTGACGTTGCCTAAAAGAAGTACTTTCAAGGGGATTGTAATGATGTTTCTTATCCTTCATTTCGTTTTCAAATTTTTCTTTATATTTAACCTGTCACGAAAAAATAGGTTATATTAAGTAACATTTACAATGAGAAGTAATCCATTTGATTTTTAAAGAGACCAAATGAAAAGCCACCTTAAAAATGAATGGTAGCACAATTAAAGTTCCCAGTATCCCTGATCCTTTATAAAGCTTAATGAAACATAATTTTGTTTTAAATGAGACCTGAAGATTGATCATAAAGGCAATGAGTTAGGCACCGAGATGCTACTCACGAGCACCAGGCATTAAAATATCAAAAGTTTTAAAAGCCAGCTTCTATTTCTGTACTTTTGCAATCTAGATCAAACAGAACTCCAGAGCACAAATATCTTACGGTCTATTGTGTCTGCATAATGGATTCTTGGTCCTGGAATCTGAATATGCATTTACCTAAGGAAATTAACCCCAATAAAGTGCTAAGTTCATACTGTGGTTTTTCTCATCATTTCCTGTAGTTCACTTCTTCAAAAGTTTAATTTTAGGAAATGCATTTCCGAAATGTCCTGGCCGTATTTAATGTATTTACTTTTTTTCTTTTGGGGGGAGGGGCTTTTAAAATTATTTTTATTAGCACATCATTGCAGTGCATAGTGGTCACATTCATCGTGGAGGATTTGTACGTGTACACAGCACATCTTAATTCTCTTTTTTTAATCCCCTTTCCCCTCTCTCCCTCCAATCCTTCACTTTCCCATTTACAAAAGCTCTACTGCATTTTTAAATTTCTCTGCTTTAACTCCACAATTCATTCAGCAGGAAAACCACCTCTAAGAGTCACTCTAAATTATTCTTATTTTTTAAGCAGACATGCAATAACAAGAAGGGCTACTCACTTATCTTGCAGAACTGTACCTTTCTCCCTTGATAAAGAAATATGTGACTATGTGCTATAATTAATTAAAATAGACACGAGCTTTTTTCCAATGAAGTAAGTAGGTAAATAAACTTAACTTACATCTCACGCCCCTTTTATTTGTGTAGACAAAAGAGGAATAGATTTCAAAAGCCAAAAGTAAGCTGTTTTGTTCTTGTATACAATTTTTATATTACAATTCTTACAATATTTTTGCTTTTTTGCTTCATTCTTGTAATGCACGTTTATGCATCTGTCTAAGACTTTGCCTCCCAGAAATCTTTAGTAAACAGCAATCTGGGAATGGTTTGTGTCATCTTTTTCAATCAAGCCTCTTAAAGTGATAGCCTGTCTGAGGGACCCATGTCCAATACAGATGAGAGAGACTCGGTAAAAATTGAGGTGGGAACATAGCATTTGGGAAATATTTCAAGCTGGCTTGCACAAAATATTTTCCATGCAGTTGTACTTAATAATAACAACTTTCTGATACTCATGAGACCTTGTAAAATTTATTTTTCCCTTCTCTCCCTCCAATCCTTCTCCACTTTCCCATTTGTCTTCATTTCCCATTCACTTCTACACAATGAGTGAAGCCTCTCTAAAACAAGAAAGATTTTGATTTTTTAAAAAAAATGATTATTTTATCTTCAGATATCAGGGATAATAGCACAAATTGCTAAGTCAGGTTTCCTCCCCTGCTTTTCTCGGTAGTTGGCACAGAAACAGAAGTTCTCTCTGCCCGGTCCTGCCTGAAATGCCACAGTCCACCCCTCTGCGATGGTGCTGCTCACCACGTTTAAGGACTGGTTTTGTCTCACCTAAGGTTTTGATGTCTTGGGGGCATTTGCTCAACAATGGTGGCGGACTCTTCAACTGGCTTCCATTTACATGCCTCTCGGCCACCAGATTCAGCAATATGCCTGCTTTCTAAATGAAATTCTTCCTGCCGTCTAGGAATCACGGACCACTCTCAGATGTTAGCTGCCTGCATCTCACCATCTGCTCCAGCTATGAAGTGCTGACCTGCACCAGGTTTCCTCTGGGCTTGTCATTTTCCCAGCCTCATACATCATGAGTTTCTTAGGTATGCATCAGCTAAATGGTATGAACAGATTCTATGATCAGTGCTCAGGAAGCTCGCTGCAGTGTTTTTGCACAACCAGGAGTTCCCAGGATGATTATGCTAGGAGCACGGGCTATGTCTAGTGTGGCATTATTTGCAAATGAAAGTGGCAACTTATCAGTTATTAAACCTGGCATTTGCTCTTCCAAGAAAATGTATATTTCTGAAAAACAATAATCAATCTGTCATTCATCTGCTGTGCTGACTGTAATAATAAGCAAAGTGTGGTAAATTTTATTTCATTCTAACCTCCAGTAGCCTGAGTGATTTGATTTAAACAAAACAGTTTTTCTTATTAATTAACAGCAAAGTAAAATAACTCTATTATTTGAAATATATATTGAGCAAGCACAAACACACAACTCTTTCTTGCTTCGCTCTTTCTGTAAGGTTTGTGCATACAGGAACTGAGAACATGACCTTTCAGTGTGTCGCACCTCTCCCCTTCTGACTGGTTCACTTGGTAGAGACACAAATACACTTAATCATTCTCCTGTCTTCAACCAACACAGCGGAGTCCGGAGTCTGACCTCCTACCCGCCCACACTCATCATGTGGGAGATCCCAGGGACACTCTGCTCTGCCTGTGACTGGTTACCCACTCATGAACGAGGCATAGCCCTTCCATGTTTAAGACCATTTGAGAAAGGGAGAGATAAGTGTTGGCTTTGAGACAAAATACTACTCCTTATATCTAGATTAATTATTCTGGAAACTAATGAAGTTACTTTTGCTCCATATGACTGACTTTATTTACATCATACCTAGCCCTGATACATATGGTCCTTGACCATATATTAAGATATATATAGTATATATAAATATATTATATATATATGATGGCTATATAGGATCAAACTCCTGGAAGTTTTCTAAAGAATTTTAACTTTCACAGGACTTTCACAGGCTGAAATTGCTAAGCTTCAGTGATTTCATTTAAACTGGTCCTCATAACTGCATCTGGAAAGAGCCAGTGTCGCTCTGGCATGAAGCATGACTTCTAAACCCATTAGGGTTCTAACTGTGAGAGGGATCCGGCTTCTCCATGATCTCACTTACGAGCCGGACTCACTAAGAGCCAGCAAAAGTGGAAAAATGTAGACCCTGAACAAGAACTGTTCATTGTAACCACAGAAGCAAATGTCAGGAAATTGAAATTTGCTAAGTGCACCTTAACTACCCCCTGAAAATGAAAAGTAAGAAATAACACATCTTTACCTATCTAGCTGCATAAATCCTCACCAATTTTGAATGAAATTAAACTATAAATGGGTAAAGAAGACAGTACAAACAGATTTCTACTAAAGCCCATGTTTTTAAAAAAATCAATCATTTTTAAGCCTGAATTGTACAAAAAATACTACCTCTGTCCTCATTTTCTTTACAAAAATAACATCCTAACTGGCTTTGCATCAAATGTCAATAATCCAGAGGGAATTTGTTGAATTAGTCTCTACATATTTGACAGCCTAATCTATGCCATTCTATAGTGACGGATCAAAGACACAGAAGCCCTCTCTCTGTAGGCCCTGGAAGTGGAAAGTGAAGTAGATATTTAAAACACACATGCATACATATATACGACCACTGAAAATTGTGTAAAGAACATATAGGAAAAGGACAGAGAACTCAGAAGAGTGGAGATACAATCTACATCAGAAAATCAGACATTTAAGTGATATTTTGGATATAAAGAGGTTGGCAGAGTGGCGGCAGGAAGGGACAATAGGAGATTCCCCAAACCAATGAATACCTTTTACAATTTAAGGACAATATATATTGCTCAATTTTTATAGCAGTCCACAGTGTAATTTTTAGGTTTATCAAAAGAACAAATGTAATGTCTGCTGTCACAAATATTAATTATAAAATACAGTGGTGCCTCAGTGCATGAACTTCATTCATCCCATGATTCTGGAAAAGATGGCCACATGCGTATTTCTGTGGGAAAGATGGCCATGGTCATGTTTGCCACCCAATGCAGAATTCACAAACAAAAAAGGAATTTTGCCAATTGCTTCTGTTTGTGAACCAAATTGCTCACCAAGAGAAATGTTATGAACTGAGGTACCACAGTACTGCATATAGGCTCTTTTGCTATTATAAGACTAAACAAAGTATTCATTCATTCATGTAAATATCAAGTAAAAAGTTCATATGCTATATGAATATACTAATCATCCTGAGAGTTGTTTTAAGTTGATAGCTTTAGCAGTTATTACTATAAGCCAATCTCTTTGTCTTCTGCACATGAGACTTCGGGTTTATTTTTTTACTGATTATTTTTAATGACTTGACCAAAATTTTATGTGTCTTCCAAATTTAGAAAGGAAAAGTTTACAATCATGAGAGCAAAACTATTGTAAGAGCTGACACAAGAAGGGTTTGGCATGTGTTTCCATGAGCTTTTATGAGTAAAATCCCAGAGCTCAATTTACAGGTAAAACATAAGCCAACTTGCCAGCTGGTTCTCTGAGTTACCTCTCATCAAGCATATCTTATCACCAGGGGCCATGGCCACCACCGCCTCATCAGGGCCTGGCCTCTCAGGGTTCTTTTTGTGCTATATTGTACTTTTCTTCCTGCTTCCTGACTCTCCATCCCCTGCTCTACTTCCCTGCTTACTGAATTCCTGAATCATTTCCCCTTCTATGTATTCATGTGCCTTTGTCATTCATTTAGGTATCTGGAGAATACACAGTCCTCAAAGTTGTCAATGAAAATAAGAAACTATACTTTTTGCCTTTATCTCAAGGTAAGACACCTGACAATAGAAAGAAAATATACAGAGGTCATTCCAGGGCTTCTGTTTATCCATCTGCCCAGGTTTTCCTTTTCTGGTGAATTTCTGCACCATAAGATCAGTAAGAATTTCATAAAGAAATCAAGGTGATAGATACAGTGCAACTCACAAATTATAACCTGCCTAAGCATCTGATCACTCAGTTGCTGAAATTAAAAGAAAAACTACCTAAAAACCCAAACAGAGACCAAGTAGTAGGATTTTTGCAGAGAAAATTTGAAAAGTGAAAATAAAAATTCAACTGTCTAATTGTTCTTCCAAGGACTTTCAAAGAGGATGGGGAAAGAATGAATGTAAGACTACAGGCTCAGCCTGTGTGCCTGTTCTTGTTCCCTGCTGTGTATAAATTCATCTGGAAAATGAAACAGGAAACTCTCTGAGCACTCAGAATAAACTGATTCTTTTGAAGTTCCACAATCCATGGGCCAAGCACCATTTCTGAGTACTCACAGCAGTGATCCTGAGAAGTAGATACTATTGGTGTCAACCTCATTTACACATGAGGGGCTGAAGATAGAGAAATTAAGTAATTTGTCCAAGGTCACTCTGTGAGCAAGCAACAGAACCCCAGAATCTGACCCAAGTGACCTCACTCCAGAGCCCATTTCCTTAACCTCTAAAGAAAAACAGACTACTTCTCCCCAATCTGCTCTATAACTGATGGGAAGCCTTCCCTCTCAGAAGAGCGTGGATTTGTAAGAAGTCAGGGAGCTAGGCTGGGTGGCTGAGACCTCCCATTTCTTCCATAAACATTATCTGGAACACAAAGAGCTTGGAATCACGGTGCCCCCTGGCCCTTTAATGAGAGTGTATCCAACAGCATCCCCAACCTTGTACATCAGCAGCCTCCTGAGTCACAATGCTGTTTTACAGGTAAAAGTGCCTCGTAAACTACAAAGCTATTAGTGGGAGACACAGTTACATTCAGGAGTCGCTCATTTCTGCCCCTCCTACCTATCCCTTATCTTGTTTCATCTCCATCCCCACAGATAGCGAGATTTTAGGGGCCAATCACTTCACGTGTGATCATATCACAGCAAGCCCAGCTGGCCTTGGCGACTCCTGCCTCTCGAAAGGCTAGACTTTCTACAGTTTGGCTACATTAACCTCCCTGGAGTGACAACGTCTGCACAGCTTTTCCTTGCTCATAATTTTCAGTGAAGTAACTACCTGTTTTTTTTACCTAAAAGTGAAGTCTAACTGAGAGACTACAGTTTAAAGTGTGATAAGTTGTTCTTGGAATTTAACTTTAAAATGTCCACCATAATTAACATTTGGAAGTCACGGTCTCTTTTTCCATTTCTTTCATGGCACATATTATTTTAGAAAGCATGGGACTAGGGAGTTATCATGCAGTAGGGATAGAGTTTCACTCTTACAGCATAAAAAGAGCCCTCCAGATACAGCATGGTGATGGGAATACAACATTAGGAATGTGCTTAATACTGCTGAACTTTCAATGGTTAACATGGTAAATTTGATAAACATTTTAGTATAGCAAAAATAAAGTTACCATATGTATGAGGTATAACCACAGATTACAGAGAGTGCTTAAATTCTTTAAAATGTCACTACTATAAAAGACACGGGCCTGTCAATCTCCCTGAAAATTCATCCCCTCACTTCAAACACACTTGTCTCATTGTTCTTACCACTTTCCGAAGCAGTTCTGGACATGTTCTTTCATGAGATATGATTGAAAATACAGTGAATGTGGCTGATCTCTACTCTTTAAAGTAATGGCCACAGTCCAAATCAATAGAGCACTGACCTGACCCATTTCTCATCAAAACTCCTCGCAAATCCATTTATGTTCACAACCCATATCCTCTGCCTAGAGCCACTACTGTTGGAATTCTCCTTTACTGGGCATTTTACCTTGAGTAGAGCTCGCTTTCTCTTTAAAACAGCCTAGCGCAGAGCTACTCCTACACAAAACCTTTCCTAACGCTGTGTCCTTCTCTCCCATGCTAACAAGAGAAAGAATGCTGATGGGTACAAATGACATTTCCCTCTCCATTTAGTTGGCATTTCCTTTCATGCTGATTAATTTGAGCAGCTTTTTGACATATTTAGTGGCCATTTATGTTTGTTCTTTTGTGAAATGTCTGTGCACCTCATTTTCCACTTTTTTTCTGGGCTATCAGTCTTTTTTGTTTATACTTTAAAGAATTTATGAGATATACATACATATATGTGTGTGTGTGTGTGTGTGTGTGCAGTTTTACCATATGTACTATAAACACTTTTCCATATATTCGAAGATCACTGTCTACTTTTTATATTTTAAAAAATGTTCTCAAACTTTCTTTTCTCAGCATAAACACTACCTTACTATTTAATTTATTCAAATATTTCATTTTATTCTTCTTTTTGCGAGCCTGTTTGGATTCTAGGTGGAATTACATGGAGTTTTCAAGCTTAACTTAGGAAGAACTAACATTCTTACAATACTGAACACCAGGACTCTAAGCCAAGAGCACAGTACATCCCTCCTTCCTTTATTCAGGACTTCGCTGATATTCTTCAAGTCAGATTTTATCTTTTAGCATTCACATCTCTCTATTTTGTAATGTAATTCACCTAAGGCCTTTGCAATATGAGAAATGGATCATTTCAAAACTGAAAATACTATAAATGTATAAAAGGTACCATTTGATCACACTGCTGACTCTGCAATGTTACCTTTTCCACTGAAACAGGTTTTAATTTTTATGTGATCAGTGTGTCTTACTATTCTTTTACATTTTCTCACTCTTCAGTCTTATTCAAGCCCAACTCTGTTTCCCCGTGTGGTATGTGCAGAGTTTGTCAATGTTTTTAACATTTTAAAATTATTTTGTTGTTTGCCTTCATGTTTTTAATTCACCTGGAATTCATTTTTGCATAAAGTTCAAGACCCCAACCCCAATTTTTATTTTACCATGATGGATAATTGCTTATGTCAGCACCATTTATGAACTAATATAACTTTCTCCCTCTGAGTCAATACTTTATCACACATTAAATTCTTATAATATTGGAGTGAATTTCAGGACTCCGTCCTATCCCATTGGTTATTTTACCTCTCACTATACCAGTCCCATATGGATTTGATTTCAATGGTTTTAGATTATCTTATGGTAACTCATAATTTAAATTCTCCTTCACTGATCTCCATTTTCATACTTATAAAGGCTGTTCTTCAGTGATTCCTTTCCATACAAACTATAAGATCACTAATCCAACTTAAAAAAACTCTGTTGAATAGTAATTGAAATTGCATAACATTCATATGATAATTTTAGAGAACTGAAATTTTTATCTATTGAGACCCTTAACTTCTATACTCTTTGGGTCCCTATAATTTTTTCAGAACTTATTTTATGCTTTTTAATAAGACGCTGAAGTTTTCTTCATTTTTACCACTACTGTTTTATTTTCTGAACAAAATAACTGAAAATTGAGAAACTACTTTTATTACTAAGTTTGAAGTGTATGTGTATATTTTTGCATATGCATAAATAGGGACATAAGTATTTAGTGTAACTGTTATTGACTTCTGGAAATTCTCAGAAATGTGACATCATCACCAAACTCACTGAAACAGGTTCAGATTTGAGCCCGGAGAAAAGAAAACTTTGTTATAGGCTGAAAATTAGACTGATTTTTTTTTCCTTTACTGAAATTTGTAATTATTGCAAGCCTATCTGAAATGGTTTCAGAAACATTATCTCTGTTTATTCTTGCAAGTAAAGATATCATCTAAAATGAAATATTTTTCTGTGTTCCAAGAAACAGAATCTCTGAATACAGTCATTGTGGAATTATCACTTGAGAGTCTTACTTGACTAAAAAGTTTAGAAGCTTCCACGGCATGTTCAAAATCTGGTCTTCCAATTACAGCAGGCTCTTTATTCATTATTCCTTGCCCTTTCTTGTACTCTGCCTACAATGAATAATAAGAAATTATTAAGTAATCCTACTTTCCAATGAGGAATTACAGTAACATTAGTCTAAATAAAATACTCTTATCCCATTAAAAATATTCCTTATGACAAATCAAATAATAAAATAATGACTGCTAAAATGGGAATTTGTTTGATATTGCAGCTATTTAAATAAACGTGACTGGGGGCTGGGGATTTAGCTCAGCGGCACAGTGCCTGCCTGGCAAGTGCAAGGTTGTGAGTTTGATTCCCAGTACCGGAAAAAAAACAAAACAAACAAACAAAAAAAAAAAACAAAACATAAATAAATAAATAAATAAATAAACGTGACTTTTTATGGTAAAATAATAACACTGAGCCTTAAGTATCCAGTCATTGTCATCTCCATATTTACTTACAGACTGAGAGAAACAGATGTTAGGGGAAATTTCCAGATAATTGAACCCTGTATACTTCATATGGGTGGCACTAGGAGTTTTATTTGTTCCCAAGAAGTGGTCTGATCACTTTGATTAATATACGCTTGAGTTTTATAATTACCGATTTTTAAAGTAGGTATACCCTATATTATTCCAATATTTAGTTTAAGTAAAATCATCATTTTTACCAGGACTTTGGGTATGCTTAAATAAAATGGCATTAAGTAAGGAGTGTATGTTAGGAAAGATAAAAACAGCCATGCCACATAGGAAACGTACAAAGGTGAGTTGCTGGAGGAGAATCAACACAATTAATAGCAGCAAGATGGGAACAAGTCCAAGCAAAGTTCTTCGGAACAGAATGAGGTGAGAAATTACATGGGCCCCAAAGACTTACAACTTTGGCCTTTAGGCTGAGACATCTGAATGTGATCTTATATCTAAACATTACTTAACTCTTCTAAAAGTGCATCACTAGCCATAGTCACATGAAGCTTGGGCCATTTCTGCATATACCCACATAATTCATATAATCTAATGGATAATTCAGGGAAAACCTGAGATGTCATTAATTCAAATAAATTAATTATACTTACTAACTATCAAACTACCAAAGCAGTGCCTTCTCTCTTACAACAATAAAAAACATCATTTCTGCACAAGATTAAGAAAGACAAATTACATTGCTTATGATCTTGGAGATCTGTGTTGCCTTCTTGATATCCGGCCTGTCGAGCTCTGCTGTGTATGAGTGGGTGTCTTGTACACCTTTCCTATAAGAAATCTGATCAAAGAGACAGTTTAGATTGAAGAAAAAATGAATAATTTCATGTCACTACTAACCTTCATGTCCATAACATTATTTCTCCTTGTCATACAAGCTTAAAGAGCCTACTAATGTTAAGTTGCTTTATTATGTTTTGAAGTCCAACATTCATTTTGATATATTAACTCTTTATACTATATGTATAGCTCACTAACATTAACACCTTTAAAACTAATTTATACTACCTAAGAAATACAAGGATGAAGCACAAAACTAGCCTTAAAGGATTTTGCATACACCTCTCCATTAGCGTGCATTCATTTCTAAGTGTGTATGCTTCTACTCACATGGAGAACATTCTAATCAAACACTTCAGCTTGCCCTGCACACATTCTGAACCCCAGTGGATGCAGATTAAGCCAAGCTCACAAATACTGAAGATCATTTCCTTTGAGGAGGAGAAGCACTGAAGCTCTGCAAGGTCCTCTCTCAGCTACATTCTTTTCTCTTTCTCAACTGGACTCTTCAAACATTTATGCCTGAGAGACCGAGTCATGGGCACCAATAGCTTTACTGTCTAATGCATATGATTTCCATGACTTGGCCCACCCAAAATAAAAGCAAATTATATTAAGGATTATTCCCCTCTCTGAATGCATGTTAGATACAACCAAGCCAAAGGATGGAAAGTAGAGATTTAAAGGGGAAAATATATACGTTTTGGCAAATGGAAAGTCTTTTAGATCATGTTGTCTGTTTATATTAAGTTGAATGACAAGTGGGAGGAGAAACCAGAATTAAACTGATAGAATGTCTGGTGGCCAACAGCTCACCCATCTGTTCACTTCTCTAGTTCTTGAAATCAGTCCTAAACCAGTGATTGCCAGATGTAGTTCTATCCAGCAAAATCATCAGTCTGTCTGACTTTCCTATCATAATGTATTATGTTAAAGTTATAAAGCAGGATGTATGGATGGGAATGACCATTTTAAAAAGCCATCTTCATTGTTTTCAGATATAGGGAGAACACAGAAATATGAACCACTGGATACCTGCACAAAGTGTGTGATTAATCACCTTTCGTACAAACTGGGTCTTCCAGTGTTGCCTGTAAATATTCTGCAATAGCACCATTTGGTCTACTTATTAAAAATTTAGACTTCTAAGCATCATCCATACTCCTCTGGAACAGAATTTCAGTAAATGAGACCAGGAATCTGATTTTTTCCCATATTGGAGATGGTATTCAGAGGCACTCTACCACTGTTACATCCCTGCTCCTTTTTCAAATTGTTTTATTTTGAGACAGGGTCTTGCTAAGTTGCCCAAGCTGGCCTTGAACTTATAATCCTCCTACCTCGGACCCTGAGCACCTAGGATTACAGACATGTGCCCCACAACCAGCTAAGAATCTGATTTTAATCGCCCACTTGATCACAACAAACCAGTGTTCTAGGTAATATTTATTTATCTTTTTATTTTCCTTTCAACATGGTAGAGTTTAAAAAAAAAAAATTCCCACTTTCTTCCTCCTTTCAAAATAGCTATCAGGTGTAAAGAAATGGTAAGGCATTAATACTTTGATAGGTTTCCAGGTTTCCTATGTATTATTTTATTTCAATGAAACATTAATGTACACTTTTGTTTACTCTTTTATAAGCTTGCATCTGCCTTCCCACCAAGACAATTTTTAAGCCACATTTATAATCATGAATCTGTCTGACAACCGAATACATCTCAAACACAATTAGTACAATTTCAGCAAAAATACCTGTTTTCATCAGTATTTATATTTTCATAGGCTTTGCCTTAACAAGTAGTTTCAGGTAGGCTTTGTGCACACAGGTAGAAAAGAAACATGAAAATAATCTGGAAAGTGAATTATTTTCTTTGGTGAATTTTAAGTCTTCGAGGATTTCAAAATGGGCCAATTTCATTGGCTTCAAAAAGCAACGCATTCATCTACCAGTGACAGCAACTTGGTCTCAGCCGACAGTGAGTTAAACACAAGCTGTGTAAACAAAAATCAGTTCTCAGGTGAAAACAAACTGAAATTATTACCCACCTCCAGGACTAACTGTGTCTAACTTACTGCATTCATATGAAAACCATGGGTGGGGGGGATGTCTTTTTGTTTAGAAAAGAATAAGAGTAAAAATGGAAACCTTTACTTTTTGAAAAGAACTGCAACCTTTCAGAAATCTCCGCTTTACACGGGTTACCTAATTATATGCTGTTCAACCTAATGACTGTGTGAAGGGAGGTGAACGGCACAAAGGCTGCAGGAGCAGGACTCTGAATAGGGCCCCATCATCCATGTAAATTGCAAATTAGAGGCCAGCATATGTGACTCAAAACAAATATTAAGATTGACATAAGCTGCGCATTCAAACAAGAGGATACCACAGAGCCGCCCAGGAGAAAAGCGCAGGAACCAATCGCCAGTGAGATCTTCCAGAACGCCACTATCTGGGGATGTTCCACGGGAGAGGAGGCTTGCGATGAAGGACAGACAAGAGGAGAGAGCTCCTGACTTCACTCTCCACAGGACGTCTCAACAGACTTGGTACGGCACATGGCATCCTAAGTAGCGTGCTCATGTTCCTGCACCTAACTTCCTGCACCCTTGTGAGGGTTAAGGGAACACTTCTGAAATGTCTGCAACCTGTGTTTGTTCATGGCATTAGAACACAGGAAGAATCAGAGTGTTATGTTGCAGAAGAGAGGGTTAAAGGCGAGAGAGAGAGAGAGAGACAGAGACAGAGAAAGAGAAAGAGAGACAGAGAGAGACAGAGAGAGACAGAGAGAGAGAGAGAGAGAGAGAGAGAGAGAGTGTGTGTGTGTGTGTGTGTGTGTGTGTGTGTGTGTGTGTTTCCCCCACCAATCCAAGCCCTCGATCCTAACCATACTGGAACAGTGAACTGATTTCTATTCTTCAGTCTTATCATGGCAATATGGTAATCTCTAGAATGCTGATGAAACTAAGGAGGGAGAAAGGAAGCGATTCAACCCAGAATGGGTGCTAACTTGATGGCCAGTAGTTGACAGGACATCATTTTCTGTAATGTTTGCTTCCTTGCTCTATCCTCAGGCACAGACAAGAAAGGAGGAGGAGAAGGAAAGAAGAAAGAAAGGAGGAGAAGGAGGAAATCAGAAAGGGGAAGGGAGCAGGAAAAGAAACTACAGTAATAATATTTTTAAAATATTTTCCAGTTAGACTATTGCGTACCATATTAAGTATGATTCACTCTTAAAGATGTTCTTTTCAAATGACCGTAGTATCTATTAAACCAAGTTCCCTTATTACTCTCCTATTTCAAATGTATTTTTCATTTTTAACTATTTAGTCTTGGTTATGAACAGCAGAAGGATTTTAGCAAATTCCACAAGGAAACAAATGTAACATCCACGGGCATCGCATTACTCCTCTAAAATGACTTAGGGAAAAAATGGTACATCGAGATTGTTTTCGTCTCTTCCTGGAAGAAGACAACACATTCCTCTATTTTTCTAAATCTGCACCTTTCAACAAAGACAGTAGTTATTAGCCAGGCCTGGCGGCACGTGCCTGTAATCCTAGCACTCTGGGAGGCTAGCAGCTCAAGTCCAAGCCCAGATAGCAACTTAGCAAGGTCCTGTCTCAAAACTGAAAGGGGCTATAGTTGTAATTCAGTGTGAAGGCCTTGGGTTCAATCCCCTGGACCATGGAAAAAAAGTAATTATTATACATTTATCTTGTACTCAGTGTAATGATGATCAGTTTGATCTTTTTAACAGTAGGTGAAGATATACAATCTTCTCTGCAAACAGTGATTCTCATAGGAATACCTACAATTACCTACAATTGTTATTTGAAATATTGGATGTCTGCTTTTTGCCTTCTTTTTCCCACTGGGTTTATTTCTTTGCCCTTCTCCATATATATGGGCCATTTTCCTAAATCATTCCTTTGTGAAACACATGTACACTAATTTTTTCCTAGTATTTTTTTACTTGGAAACTGCTTCCTGTTCATTCCATGTGATCAGGGATCTTGAAAGAAGCCTACCTTCCTATCGATGGGGTTGCTATGTGATTTATGCCATCCAAACAGAAGCCACACAAGGAGGTCAGCATCCTTCAAAGGATTCCTTGTGACAACATAAAGGTTCTGGATCTAGGGATGCCTGAAAGGAGTTTTTTCTAAGTATAGTTGGGCCTCCATGTCCATGGATTCTGCATATAGGATTCAACCAAGTATACAGTGAAAATATTTTAAAAAGAAAACTGCATGTATATTGAATGTATATAAACTGTCTTCCTGTCATTATCCCCTAGATAATATAGCATACCAACTATTTATATAGCATTTAGATATAAATAATCTAGAGATGATTTTAAATATATGGAAGGATATAGACAGATTCTATGCAAATACTGTACCTCTTTTTAATAAAACACTTAGGCATCTACAGATTTGGGTATCCACAAATGTCCTAGGACCGATCTCTCATAGATACTCAGGGGGGACTGTACACAAACCTATCAACTTTCCTTTTTAACTTGAGCTCACCTGAGATGGATTCCTGACACTAGCTCTAGAGAGCTCCTTATTTCATATCTTCCTGTGATGTCCAATTTGTTCAAATAAAGAACTGTATTCCATCAAAATCTATCTTTGAGTTCCTTCCTTATCTCATCATGTTCACCTCTGCCCTTGGCTTCTATTTCTTGCTGTTCTTTTAAGCCAGTCTTGTTCTCTCCTCAAACTCTTTCAGCCTCTGTTGCATAACAGCTGTGTCTTTTGCACGTTTCCTTCGTTCATGCAGCCTGTTCGATGTGCCAGGCACCACGTCCTTTGAGCACATACATTCATGAACTCCTCACCCCACCCTGTTGCCCTGGATGGTCTGTGTGCAACGGGGTTCCATCAACACTCGCTTCCAAGGCTACAGCTACATTCTCCATACGCCCTTCCTTAAATCATTATGAGTTAGACTTGGCCAGTAAAAGGAACTCTTATGAGATTTTAAAAGTATGCCTTTACTTTCCAAGTTCTCCGTCAGAGGACTCGCAATGATCTTCCAGTAAGCTTTTTATATTTATTCAAAGGTGATTTGAGACTCCATGGTAGGGGAGTTAATAAATTAGAAAAAGGTGAGGCCTCCACAGACTGGAAAGTGAAAGACCATCACCTGGAGGCAAGAAGATTGGGGGTGAGGAATGACAACCTCCATGAAAGCTGCCACAGTCAGACACCCGTAGACCAAGCGCAGCATGCACAAGCGGACCCTAGAGGAAACCAAGGCATTGGCCCAGAACCAATCCCTTTGTTGCTCTGGTGAATTTTGAAGTGATTCTTGGTGAGAAAAAAAAACTAGATAGGATAGATCACAGTTTATATTTGGGAACCTCATCCCTTTTATCTGGAAGTGCTGAAGATGGAACCCAGTGTCTCATGATAAGCAAATGTTCTTCCACAGAGCAATAACTTAATTATCTTAGTTATACTTATATGAACATTATTTTCTACAAGAGAACACAAACCTTTTAAATTATCAGTTAATGTAGGACCTGATACTATTCAGCATTCAGAAAATTTTTCAACCTACTAAAAGATAGAGGAAAATATGGAATTAAGACTAGAGCAATTTATCAATATTGCTATTGTCATTGGTTATACTCCATTTTAGAGTTCATAAAAGTTTTCTTATTTATCATTTAATTTTATTGCCATTTAATTTTACTGCCATCTTGGGAAGAGATGAAAAAATCATTGATATATCTATCTTTAATACTAAATCCTAAAGCACTGATATTGTACCTCACATTGGGAAATGACACACAGAGCCATAACTGTTTTTCCAGTATCATTTTACTGATTTATCTTTAAGCTTTTTCACTTTCTGATGGATCAGAAATTTGTCTACTGATAAGTTTTTATTAATTTTAAGATGGTATATATACATCATTCTTGAAAAGAACATTAAGCCTCTTGTTTCCCATGCTGAATATTTCTTTTTAATGCACACTGAACTGATTACCAGTGTGGAGTTAGGGAAAAGTTTATCATTCCAATTTCATCCCAAGTCTGTATAGACCACACGACTTATAAAACTCAAGATGGAAGTTTAGGATTTGTTGGACTCACTTCAGAACTATTGGGCTTCATGTCTCTGATAAGACTGATTAGAAATAATAATGTAACTGAGGTTTTCATTTCAAGCCCAAGTTTAGGGGAAAGGTACAGGACAATACTTCCAGTTTCTCTAATTACATTAGAAAATTTTGGCAAGGGTGCATCCCTTAAGATATAGAAGATCTAGTTTGGCTGTGTTTAATCATTTTGTGATGATAGTATCAACAAAATAGCCACCAAAACCTTTTATATATGCCCTTCTGACCTACATGTTTCATAACTAATTTCATATTGATTTGGCCCTTCTATAAATTTCTTTCAATTGTTTGAAATTAACTATGATATCACCTTTAACTCTCAAGTCACCCTATAAAAACTGGAGCACAAGCAAGCGGGCCTACCATTCTATGAAGCAGTTCTTCTATGGAGCCCTTTGCATATATTATTCATTTACTCTGTGAGGGAACTTAGGCGGGGAGTAAATACTATTGTCCCTGTTTTACAGATGTGAAAACTGACATTCAGAAATATTAACTTGTCCGAGGTCATTCACATAATTTGGCAAAGTAAGCATTTAATCATGCTTAAAATATATGCTGCAGTGGAAGACATTCTGAAGAAATATATTCTTTTCTTTTCTGTGATCACTGAATTTTATAGTGACACAAGAGACTTGTCCCTCCAGGTTATTCTTCACCTGTCAACTCTTGGCTTCTCAGAGGTGAAAATTCAGCTGGGCAGCTGAAAAGCATCCTCTCTCCCATCCTGTTCTACATATTCACATTCTTAAAGGTATAAGGGAGAGAAAGAATATGAACAAAAAACACTGGCTCCCTCATGACCATTCTAATAAAAGGTATGACCAAGAATGTGGCAGAAATGAAAAGCTCTGAACAACAGTGATCCTAATTTCTTGGTTCACTAACAGATGTTTGAAAGGTGACTTTATTTGTTGAACACACAATAAAGATAAGAAGCACACTCTAAGCTGGGCATGGTGGTGCAGGTCAGTAATCCCAGCACTCAGGAGGCTGAGGCAGGTGGATTGCTGTGAGTTCAAGGCCAGTCTGGGCTATAAAATGAGTTCAAGGCCAGCCTGAACTGCACAGTGAAACCTTGTCTCAAAAAGACCAAAAATAAAGCACACTCTGAGAGGCTGAAGCAGGAGGGTTGTGAGGCTAACCCCCGCTGGGGCAACTTTTTGACGTAGTGAAACCCTGTCCCAAATTAATAAAAATAAAAATTTTTAAAAAGCTGGGAATTGGGAATGTGGTGAGTGTGAAGGCTCTGAATTCAATCCCCAGTACTGCATAAAAGGAGAAAAAGAAAGAAAGAAAGAAAGAAAGAAAGAAAGAAAGAAAGAAAGAAAGAAAGAAAGAAGATAAAAAGCAAAGATGTTGACTTTCATTGTTTCTAAGTTAATCAAATTCACATATGATGGCACATTTTAATTTTAAGCCATTTATAGCCAAGTGCAAAGAGATATTTCACATTACAAAAGAGTAATTCTACTAGTAAAGTCTCTACCCTGGATTTCATTGGGCTGAAGTTTTATGGGAGACAGGGTTTTGTGTGCCTTTTGTGAAAATTCTGTAGCTCGACCAACTGAACCAAGAATGTCCATACTAGCTTTCCTTGTAGCTTTCAAACTCTATGCTTAAATTTCATATGGTAGGGACAATGAATGTATTATTCTAAGTGGCCTGACTCTGGAGGAATATCAGCTACTCCACAGGTAGAATACAAATATCATTCTCACTTTAAATCTGAGTAAATAGTCTTAAACACTTTCTAAATACTATTACACGTACAAACTTTGCATGTAAAGGTTGAGCAAGTGGCAGAGGGGTATAAGTAAACACATCTTCTCCCATAAGTACACAGTGTTGAATGGAGGAGAAAAGGGCTGTATACTCTATTCCCTCAATCCCTCAATCAAAGACCTTTTAAAAGAAAAGGCAGAGTTAAAATAATAAGCCCAGTTCTATAAGGAACTTCTGTATTTGAATTTCATTGACTGATAGAGTTAGAAAGGGCCGCCCGGGGATCTGTGGGACACCAGCCCCTCCCAGCCCCCTCCCTCTCCCCTCCCCCACCCATCCCCTAGCCTACCTCCTCACCCTTGGGCCTTTCCTATGAATTCAAGTTCTCTTTGGCACCAGAAGAGTGGGAACTGAGGATGTCTGGGCTATTCTTTCCTGTCGTACATTTGAACTCTGATGATGACTCAGAATGCTCTTTCTTCCTTTTTAAAATTTTATTTAAAATCTTGACTAATTGCCAGTGACTTGGAGAAAGGAGTCAATGGTGTACAACAGAAAGAGTGAACTTGGGAGTTTGATTTCTTCGTCTTACAAAATGGGAATCAGTACAGGGTTTTTGTGAAAATTGGAAATGATCAAAGTCTTGGCACGATGCCTGGCGCATGACTGAGCCGGGTAAGTGGTGGTTATTATGATTATTATAGTCATTCTGTAAGCAAACAGTTCTTACAAAGCCTCCCCTTACAATAATAACCCTGCTTAATAATTGCAGACACGTAGCTTCTTCAACTCCTGTCAATCTTAACTCATCCCAGAGAAGTGCTTTGGTATGGGCAGATGTGTACATTTGGGTTAGAATGTCAAGCCTCACTCTCGTTTTTACTTAAACATCAACCTACTGCAACTTAATACCAAATCACTGTTGTCAGCCTGCAGAAGGACCCTGCAGAACCTGAGCCTGGGAGGCTCAGAGTTCGCAAAGTCCTTCAGGAAGAGGACTAAGGAATGAGACAGATTCTGTGTGAGGTGGAAAAGATACAACACAAACTTTTCCAAAAGGGGAATTGCTCGCCCAGGTGGAACAAGCACTTTGAACTGGTTCTAACCCACCAAGAACTTGACCAAGACTTCCTACATCTCTTTTGGAAATCAGAGAATTCTTTTCAGAGGAGGCAGACAAGCTTCCACTATTAATTCAAGGACGAATTATTCTCCTAGACCAACAGGATAGGGGTGGTAATTGAGCAAATGCCCTGGAAGTCTGATGGGGCAGGGAACCTGTAACCAAAGAAGAAATCTGTGTTCTACAGTTTATCCTCTCCCTCTTGGTTTTTTGCTTCTAACTCAGCTATCAGGCATCTGATGCATTTATATTTCAAATGGTCTTACTGGGACGCAGCCCAGCTCATGTTTGAATGATCCCTCTTGAATCGCCAATTGCTGATGTTTTTTCTGCTATTCTAGCCTGGGGACCATGGGCCTTAGCATCAAATCAAAGAAGCTCTGAAAACACTAATAACCTGATGGGTCAAAGAATCCATATTTATCTTCTTCAAAGCAAAATTTTCAATTTTGACAATTTCAAAAAACATTCCACTAGGTTTCCAATCATCAGAATAATTCACAGGCCCTTTGCACCGATGAACCCTAAAGTTGTTTTGGGATAGAGTGTCATATTTAAATTTCAACAAAATAATCAAAAGCCTGGAGCTATATTAACTACAATTTTCCAGAAAATTGTGAGAAATAAGCTTTCTTACATCACTTTGGTGTTTAGTGACCTCCATGGCGTGTTTGATCTCAGGCGGCTCCTTCATCCGGGCATAATCTGAGAGTCCTCTGGCAGCATCGTGTTTCTGTTTATAGGCGACCTTAAAACACACATACAATTATTCTCTCCTTTTAGTGGCATAGAAAATCGATACCTGTTAATCTTCAATGTTTTGCTAAGATTTCATAGATTGAAATGCCTCCATAGTTACATTTGTCTGAATCTCCACATTAAGATAATATACATAAGGGTCTCATTTTAGTGCTTCAGTTTAGATTTATATTTTTAACTCTTTGTTTAATTGAAAATGTCCTTGACCAGAAGATGAAACTTCCATTTTTATTCATCTAGCTGAAATCTTTATGTGCAGTTTTGAGAAATCTTCCACATCTGAAAACTTTCACGGTTATAAATGTTCAAGGTTTAAATCTTGAGAAAACAACTGACCAGGCCAAAGACGATAGTTTATTTTTAAGTGAAAAGCTCTGATACTACATAGGCACAGCTATCATATATGTAAACCTCATTTAATGGTCAAACCTTTGGGAGAAAATATAATAAGCTAGCAAACTTCGCAGGTATGTTAAGCTTTATCCTCTGTCGGGAATCTGAACATCACACCAATCCCATCCATTACCACCGTGGTAAATTTCTTCCGCACTGGGCTGAGGCAGGGGCACGAGAAAGATACCAAAGTAGATATAACCAAACTCAGCAACAGAGTGGGAAATTAAAGATCCAAAAGACAACAATCAAGTTTTTACTCTCAATTTATACAATTATCCGATTTATTTCCTCCACAATTTTTCATTCTTTTCTTTAATGTTTGCAGAATCCCTTATTATCTGTCTACCCTTACTAGAACATAACTGTCTGACTCCCTCAATCCTCAGGGTCCACAATTACTGTCTTGCAAAAAATTAGCATCAATGAATATCTGCTAAGTAACTGAATGAATAACTGAATGAGTGGGAATAAAACAGTAGCCCATAAAGGATGGAAAGGCAAAATTAATTTTTACGTACACTAAGAGGTTAAGAATAAAAGTATATGAAGTACAGTTGGAATTACTCATCATAATAAAGGCAGTTTAAAAAGAAAAACTAGAACAGTCTTCACTAAGAACAAAAACGGGTCTAACTTTCATTGAAAAAAAAATAGTTAGACTTAAGGAGGAATTCTTCACCAAAATGAGCTCCTCGAGAGCTCTATCTTACACATCTTTTAATATCCTGTGCCTGTCACAGTGAATGACACACAGTAGAAATGCAATAAATGCTTAGTGAATGGATGAATAAATGAGTTTATTCAATATTCTCATAAACCTAACACTCCATGTTGGCTTTTATAAACAGAATTAACCGTCCATTTAGCTTAGGTAATATACCAATTTAAAGGGCTGAAGTGATGATTATGAAACTAATTTTTATAATAAAGTCATCAAATCTTACCATCTAAAACCAGTCATCTAGTACAGCCACGGATGCTTAAATCCCCTCTCCTGTTCCTTTTCTTTAAAATCTCTATTGCAAGAGAACTCAGCTTGGGATATGACAGTCTCTACAGTTTGAATGTTCTTCCTTTTTCAAACCCCAGTCTACCCAACAGCTGCATTTATCTGACCATAGAGAAAGAGCCAAGTTCACAGTACAGATTTTCCAGGCCATCACGAATCCTATTCCCCCAGACTGTCTGCACGATGAAGGGGCTGAACTCCTGATCATACCACTTCTTTTATAATCCAAACCCCCATCTGTCCATCCCTTTCCAAAGGTGCCTACAATGTTCTGACTTAATCTGCATCATTTCCTTTAATCCAGGTCAGCCTCCACCACCTGCTAGGAATGCATTGACAGGTCATAGCATTTTCCCTTTGATGGATACAATGAGATTTTAGTCAATTATAATAATGCAATCAAGTCATAGTCAGTCCTTCCTAGCCAGATTCCCAGATCCAATTCTGTGTATCTGGTTGGTTACCAGGCCTCAAATGAAACACCTCACATTATTCCAGGTATAATATGTCTTGTTAGTCTATCCATCAACTTACTCCATCAAGACACCTAATTCTGATGAATACGTCTTTACACTTTCATCAATGAGTAATGTTAACCAGGAAAACCTTTAAGAACTTAAGAAGTCCATTACCTCATTTCCATTACACTTTGGATTATAACTCTGAGGAGGAGAGCAGGAGCTTAATGGGTGGCCAAGCCCATAAACCCAAAGAAAAATCTTTATGAGAGTTCTTCCTGCTTTTAAATTAAGAATGCTAGTACATCCTGGTCTCCTTTTTGATGGTTGCCTGGTGTGTTTTGTATTTTAAACCAACTATTACACTTGTGGTTTTATAAACATAACCAAAGCAGCTGATCACTTTGTGGGTTATCATAGAAACAGTGACTCACAAAGTTTAATTTTCAAAAGCACTTTCTTAAAAAGACTACATAATTTTCTACTTGCCGCTTTAAATAGTCATTTCATTTATAGCTGCTACTAAGTACCACTTAGAATTGAGATTGCATCAAACTGGAGGCAGCTGAACTTTAATTCATTATATTAATTTTCTTCCTTAAAATAGCTAATGGAAATAATGGCAAGCTAATAAATTTTCCAATAATTTTGATTTCTTAGGATTTGTCATTATTATATGGTATTTCTCTAGATTCAAATTATTTTCTTCACACGTCAAGAATTCAGATTGGCATGATTTTAGACACCTAAAGAATGAAGAGTACTTGTAATAATCATATACTTATATAAATATATATGTTTATATAAGTAATATATACATCTATCATACACATTTTATCTTCTAGAAGGTTTTTATACCTCATATCCACATAGGTACATATGATACCTGTACATGCTTACCTTCTAGTGTATTTTATAATTCTACATAGGTACATGTGCTTTTAATCCCACAGCACAGATGTCTTTGAACTCCAAATTAGGACCCTTTGGCTCCTATAAGTCATAAATAAGCTGCTCAGTCCAGAGGCCTGCACGGCCTCACTACTTCTGTGACACAGGATTAGTCAGCCTTTGCCTGAAACAGTTCCACTGAAAGAGATCCCGCCACTCCTGGCACACGTTTCATTCCATTTCCAGGTTTCCTTGGGATCTTTGTTCATAAAAATTTTTAATAGGGAGTAGCTAATAAAACTCCATGATTCTCTTTCCCTCTTTTTTTCAAAGATATTTTTCCTATCTGTAATCTTCTGTAAGTATAAATCCAAATAGTTTTACTTTTTCACACTAGCTTGAATATAAGCATCTAAAGATATACAGAAGTTGATTTTATGACAATTGTTTGTCAAAAGTCTCAGACTTTTCATTAAAACCCAGAATGCCATTAAGTTGCAGAATTCCTCTGACACTTTGAATTACATCACCATAAATCTCACACTAGCTGGACACAGTAGAAGTTCAGTTGTTTAACTATCACCAACACTCAGAAATAGTTCTTCTGTTTCCCTGCCTCGTATCAGAGATATACTCAGAGAAACACACTCTCAACAATAACAAAATTGATCCATGTAAACCTAAAGAAATATCATTGCAATTATGCAAATCTTTGAGACAGACACTTTATTCCAAATCCGTTTTTTCTTCCTGACAAGTTCAGAAATTCATCCCAGTGGAAACCATCACTAATCAGGAGTATAGACACATCCTCCCCAGTGATGCCGGTTCAATTGTAGGGTGACACACGTTAACACCGTGAGAACCTGTTCTGACCAAAAGCAGTAGGAAAATCCCAAAATATCCAATATGGATTATCTTGCATATTAAATGTCACATTGCAAGTATGTGTACACTGCAGACCATGTGTGCTATTCAAAGATGAGAAAAATTGTATGTGTCCAAAGAAATGAAGATGTGACTATCTGAAAATGTTACCTTCCCACGTACACATAAAAGCATAAACGGCCTCGTTTTTCCTTTTCTGTCTTTATGGAATGAATGATTGTTGCTTGCCCCATATCAAACGTTGTGCTGCAGTTTTGTGCTTTATAAAGTATCTGGTATCACCAGCAAGTACCTTGATGACCAGATGGCAGAACAAGTAAAGGGCACATGGGTCATAGCCATGCAGAACTTTGACATCTTGTATTTTTAGCTTCATGTTGCATAGCTGAGATTAGCTTATTGCCAAACTGGGTACACAGTGGATGTTTAAATTTGCAATAGCGAAATACTTAAAGATATTCTGCAAAGAATAAGTATGCTCAGTATTTTTAAGAGTACTTGATTTTTAGGCCATGTTATAATTGTTGAGGTATCCTCTACTTCAAAGTAAAAAGATTCTGGAGAAAAAGTAAAATTGCTTAATAAGAAAAAGAGGGGTAGAAATGGAAGGGAAATGTGAAGTGGTGTGTGATTAAAAACTCAGGCTCTGGAGCCAGACTACCCATGTTCGTGGGCTGGCTCTGCCAATTCCTGGCTTTGTAACGTTGGAAAAGTTACTTAAAACTCTGTGCTTCAGATTCCACAACTGTAAAATTGGAATACGTTGGGGGTGACTGTGAGGACTAACTGGAATAAATACCTGTGACGTGCATAGAACAGAACCTGATAGATAGTCACTACTTCTATGTGTTTATTATTCTAACTAACCTACAACGCAGCATAAAGAACACAAACTCTGCAAAGAGAAGCATACCCTAAAGAAAAATCATTACAGTCTCTCCAGGTGCATTCATTTTCCTACGAATGACTCAAGCTGATCTTTCTTATGTTAAAGTAGTACTCCGTTGGGTCTAAATACCATCTGACACACAAGCTTATATATCACATGGCTTCTCTTACATGAGAAACCCAAAATATAAATGAAGAGCAAAATAAAAGATAGATAACAGGAAGGAAGGAGACAGATCTTTCTCCAAGGGGAAGGAGGGAGGTCAAGAGAGGGAGGGAAGGAGGAGAGGAAGGAAAGAGGATGAACGAAAGAGTTAAGACAAGTTATGTACACGCAACTCCACACAAGACATGCAAATATTACATACTGCACACAGGTACCAATCTTAAAATCCAACAAAATCTATTTTATAATATTTACTGAATATCCCCAAGTACCTGGGACTGTTCTAGGTACAGGAGTAGAGCAGAGAACAAGACAGCTGAGGTCCCTGCTCTCATTCACGTAGCTTAAGGAGCCAAGTGATAGACAAATAAAGCAACAAAAATTAAAACTCAGATTATGCTATGAAGAAAGCAATGAGCTAGGAAGCAACAACTACTCTGAAATTCTGTTTTAAGAAATGCAAGAGCTTAAATACATTAGGAATACTTAGATGTCAGTATACTATAAAGGAATTAATGACCCCTATACTCCTTTGGATTCAGAATGAGTTTATGTAATGACCACTCTTAAGTTTGTCTGCAATCAAGAATCACCAAAACTGCCAGCTCCACTAATGGTGGCTCCTGCGGGTAGCCTGAAGGATCCTGTGTGAAATCATGTGCCACAGAACAGGGATTTCAGGATCTGCTTGTCTAACAGATGGGCTGCTGAGTGCAGGTCCCAAATTCAACTCTTTACTTTAAAAAAGTTATTGACATGTCCTCCGCTTAGGGACCATATGCTAACTCACAAAATCTTTTAGTAGCTGCTATTAAACATCTATGTTAACTAAATGACATTGAAATTGGCTTTATAAAACGGAATGGATGGGGCTTAGGAAAATATGTCACTGACATGAACTTACACGTCCTTTGTATGTTCTGCCTTTTTCACCAGTGACTACTGGTAGTATATAAGCAGTTGCTTGCAATTTTCATTCAGTGTTTAATACTCGAGAGAAGCAGCTCTTATCAAATGCTAAACAAGCTATATGAAGTTATATGGTCCGTCAACATCAGCAGCAACAATCTGTGCAAACCATACCTTGCTCTGAAGCTGGGAAATTTCTCTTGCAAAGACACTGTCAATGGTGGCCGGCATCCGCTTGTAAAGAGAGTTGGGAAGCTCGGCCTTCACCTTGCCTTTGTATTTTATCTAAGAGGACAGAAAAGAAAGTCTTTTTTAACTTGTTAATATAAGATGAAAATAAAAGGAAACTTTCTCTAAAAACAGAATTGATTTTAAAATTGGCAGAGCATTTTACTTTCAGATTCTAGATCTGATGAACAGTTTTTGAAGAGACAGCAATAAATCTCATTTACTGTGGAGAAACCTTTACATGAGATATGCAAGAATATAATGGCTTTTTTCTATTTAAACCCACGCATGCTTCTAAAAATAAATCTACTTGTATGCATTGACAGCTTTGGATGTTTTCAGTGAGGAAATCACTGAGATGTTTAAGTTGTTCCAGGAAATCCAAGTCATCACTGCGTAGGACCTGATGACTAGAGGCTGGGGAAGTTGGGGAAAGAGGGACAGAGGGAGGTTGGTTGGATGACAGGTACAAGAACAGGATCGCTTATGCTATTCTGGGTCTTTTCTGGTTCTGTGTGAAATTTTAGGACTGTTTTCTCTCAAAATAAGAGAGAGATAATAGGAAGTAAGGGCACAGATCTTGCTCAAATGGAAAGGAGATCAAGAGATGGGGGAAGGGGAGGAGGGGAGGACAAAAGGCATTGGGGTGTGTTATGAGCATGGCCCAGCTCCACAGTGGGAATGTAACCACTTTGTATCACACACACACACACTCACTAATAAAAATAAATGTTTTAAAACTTAAAAAAAAAAAAACAGCAGGACACAGTTACATAGAAGTAAGAAATGCCAGCATTCTTCTGGGGTGACTGAAATTCACAGCAACCTGTTCTATATTTTATGAGAAACTAGAGGAGAGAAACTTGGCTGTAACACAAAGTAATGATAGGAACATGGAAATATCATCGACTTTAACTTGATTGGTGCCCACTGGTACATGTAGTGAAACACCACACTGTACCCCGTGAACATATATAAGTAGTACACACTAATCAGAAATTTTTTATGTTTAAGGAGATGGAAATGACTTCATCATCACACACTATATATGTATTGAATTATCATACTGTAGGCTGTAAATTTGTGTGATTAAAATAATAATTTTTTAAAAATGTGTTTCTTTATGCAAATCTTCTCATCCCCCTGCAGCCACAGTCAGGGGTGAGAGGTGTTTGTTTGTTCTCTGTGCCTCCCCACCCGCAGCCTGCATGAGCTTCTGGTGAGCTCCATCATTTCTCCAAAAGACAAACACTCATTCAACATTTCCTCTTGGGGAAATTAGGTTCAAGGGAATGTAATAGATCACACGCTTGCAAATTTTTGCTCTGCAGTTAACTCCTCAGGAAAATGAATCAATCACAGAGAGCAAGCACACCAGAATTTCCCTACATAGAAACAACACAGCTAATACAAATAAACAGAACCATATTCTTGGGAGAGTCCTCAATGCCCCTGTTCAGAGTTTGATTTGGGGGTTCATGTTTTGAGCAGATATCCTGTATGAGCCTTTTGCCCCCACAAGAATAGATGCTGGTCACAATAAAAGAAAATGTACCGATTTTCTCAAAATTGTCTCACATTAGCAGAAATAATCCTGAGAACATCACACTGATCTTTTTCCAACATAACTTATGAAACACTAGAGGTCAGTCATTTACAATGCTATTTTATTAGCTGGCTTTTTCAAGTTTATTCACAAGCTACCATAATGCCGCCACATAGAAATTATTGTTAATATTATGCTTTATAGTGCAGCATAAACTGCAGTTCTAAATGATCTCAGAAAGAGACTACATGATTTTTCAGCTGGAAAATGAACACAGTGTATTTCTCACTTTGTGGTTTCATAATAGATATCGCTGTTGATCTCACTAAAACCAGCTTATATTAATTCAAAATTATTAGTCAAAAATATTGCATTTTATAAAATCAGCTCATACAACTTATTGATTTCCAAAATGAGAGTCAATTATCTCTAATACATCCATTAGGAAAGCAGTAAGTCAAAATGTTTAACATGAACTATTTTGCCAATGCTTTCCATTTGTTGAATAAAATTATCCCCTTTCAAAGGTAATTCTGCATAAATAAGAAAGGGTTGGAGTCAAAGTATAGACTGTAGTTAGTAAAATCTACTCGAATAAAATAAAGTCAATTTACATAAGTTAATTAACATAGAACATAGAATTAGGTAAGTTAGATATTACCAACATTCCGTGATGCTTTTAAAAATATCTGCCAACATTATTACATAGATTTTTATCTACAAAAACATAAAAAGAAAAACAAGCCATTTTTTAAAGTTTCAGGGATCTTACCTCAGAAATAAAAGCACCAATATTTTTTACATGGTTGAGCATGGGAGTGTCAGTCACAAATGTACACTTGCCCTTAGACTTTTTATACTCTTCTTTATAATGTACCTAAAAAGGAGAATAATTTACATAAGAAGGCAAAGAAGAAAAGTACTTGTATAGGACTTTTTTGAAAAAAGAATTAAGTTGGTAAAGTCCATTTTCTTAAGAGAATATTCAAGTGTGGACTAATTCTCAAAACAAGCTAAGTAATTCCACCCAACTGTCCTCCATGTGGGTATCTTCCCAAAAGAGTTAAACGCATCATACTACAGTGATACATGCACAGCCCTGTTCATAGCAGCACAGTTCATAACACACACATCTTAGAAGTCGCCTGCCTATGTGTTCATCAACAGACACACGGATAAAGAAAATGTGGTATTTATACACAATGGAGTACTACTCTGCTATAAAGAGTCATTTGTAGGAAAACGGAAGCACCTTAAAAACACAGTGTTAAGTGAAATAAATCAGACACACGAGCTTAAATACCATATGGTTGCTTTCATGTGAGAAATCCAAAGTATAAATAAAGAGCAAAGTAAAAGGAAACAAGGAGACAGATCTACTGCAAATGAGAAGGGGACCAATGGTGGGAAGGACCACAGGGGGAGGGAACCTTAAAAAGGAATTAAGATGTGTCATGTACATGCACCACATATCCACAATGAACGCAGTCATTATGTACCACAAACATGCACTAATAAATAAATTTTAAACATGGGAATCCAGCACAGAATGGAAAGTTAATGAGGCATAGTGAGGAAAGACTGTACTTTAATAAGCTAGAGTCCTGTTACTGGTAGGAATATTGACTCACAGATGACCTACTTGCTCCAAGAAATCATCCAACAAGCTCCATCTCACCCACAAAGGCCATAGTTCATTATTACTTTTAAATCAGTGACTTTAACAGTTAACTCCAAGGCCAAGCAGAAGCAGCTGCCTACCTCAAGGTAGAAACCAAGCAGTCAGCAGAACAGATATGATGATAAGTGCTCCCTTCTCCAGAGGTGGGGAGACCTGGCATGAACGCAACCACCCAAAGAAGCCAGGAAAGATGGAGAAGGCCCCAACATGTCATCCTGTTGTGACGCTAATTGCCGCACAATCTGAGAGCTGGGGAGGGAGGCAAGACTCAGGACAAGTCAAGAGGATGAAGATAACTTGCAAAATTTATATTACCCTGTGATAGAGTCATGTTCATTTACCCAAGACCATAAATACTAAGGCTGGGAGAAATGATAAATTACACAATCTCCCTAATTATAACCAAAAAGTGACAGTTAACTGTGTACACCACCTGGTTCTCTGTGGACGCTACGCACCAGCAGGCAGTGGAGGTTTTACCTCACGGGGGGAGCACGACCTGACCTGAGGCACAACCAGACAGAAACATATTAAGTGAACTCCTTTCCAAATTCCCTATTTCACTGCTGCGACTCTTAGCTATTAATGCCTCCCACATTAAACTCTTGCTTTATTCATGAAATCAACATGAGAACGTATTTATCTTATCTGAGCACTAAATTACTTTTTTTTTTCTCTTCTCAGAGATTAGCCTTAATTTTAGGTTCCTGCAAATCGCCCTCCTCAGTCACTAGTAATTAAATCCTTAATGGCAGTGTGATAAATAGCAGGCTATTTTGATCATAAGGAGAGAAAAAGTTTCTCCATTATGTAATTAAGTGTGAGAAAAAATAGCCTATCATTAGGCTTAAGTTTGACTCATTATTTTTATCTGTTGCCACCATCTTTTCCCCATCACATCCACATTCTTCAGCGCGGTGGTGTGTGCTGGTGGCCAGGAGCTCCTGATAAAAGCTGACAGAGCGGAATGTGCCGGGCAGGAGGAAGGGATAAGGGCGAAGTATCTACTTCCTTTGCTACGGAGGCAAACAGTTCCCTCTGAATTGCAGATTTCATGACTTTTTTTTTTTTTTTTTTTTTGCTCTTCATTAAAAAAGAAGTACATACATGTGTATCTTTACATTTCCGTTATACTTAAAAACCTGAGAACGTTTATTGTCACTCCATTTACAAAACTCATTAGAAGTTACACACACACACACACAATGATGGGGTGGACTTTCTACTGAATTTGTGTGTATGGTTCCTAACGAATTTTACAACATGAGTTCTAATGAGTAAATATTCTTAAGTTTTTATAGAAATAAAGGGTGTTATACATTAGGAGGATTTCTATGCCAGAATAATAGGAATTGGTCAATGAAAGGAATTATGTTGGTCAACCACATAAAGCTTAGGTCAAATAAAAATCACCAAATAGATAGCTATTTCCTATTATAACAGTGTCTATACCTTCAATTTAATTTAAGGCTGACAGCATCTACCACATAGATTCCTTCACTCCTACTAATAAAACCTGACAGGATGCCTGAAAGTGGCCAGGCCCCTACCCCAGCCCAAAGGACAAACTGATCTAAATTCAGCGTGGTCATCTCCTTCTCTTTGGCCTGTGATTGGCTTGGGGAAGGGGAGGTGTCTGGCTCTGGCCGAGAGGCATGAGTGGAAGTCTTCCCAGAGTGTTACAAGTGTTTCTGGATAAATAGGGAGAATTTGGACAGTCCTTGACATTTCAGCCTTCTAATGCTTTCTTTTCCTGGCCACCTGGGCAGCAGCAACGATACCATCACAAGCAATAAGGCACCACACCACCACATCAGTGAGAGCAGAGAACAGGAGCCAGGGCAAATGATGACCTCCACTGTACTGAGACTCAACCCCCTACCTCCAGGCTTTACATGTGGGAAGGGAAATACCCCAATGATAGATTTTTCCTGCTACTTGAGCCATCTACACTCATCAACAACACACAACCCAATATATTTCCAAATTAAGAAGGAAAGGGGGCAAAGTTGATGACTGCATGAGCAATCAGATGCCCCAAACATTTACTTTCTCCCTTGGCTTTACCCACTAATCCTACAATGTCTCGACTACAAATAAATTAAGTAAGTTCAGTGTTGCTTCCTGTTCTGGCCAAGTTTCTTTCAGTGGGTAGGAGATTAGCTAATGGCTGAAAGTGGATGACAGATGTGGAAATGTTCAAGGCTATTTCCTCCTACAGGCATTCTTAGCTAAAAAAAAAAAAATCTAGGAAGTCTTTTCACAACTGAAACCGTCCCAGTTAAGTTCAGCAAACCCCAGAAGAAAGAACTACAGCTTCATCACTGGGGGTTTACTGGGCAGGTCATGACCAAGGGCGCGCTCCCAGGTTTTCTAACACAGTTTGGAGGAGGAGCCGGGGAATCTGCTGTTTGCACATCCCAGGGTTTATCCATAATAATGCTCATTTGCCTGGATAATGTCCTCACCACCATGCAAGTGAACACCCTGAAGGGCTTTGAATGAAACACTGAGTCAGAGGCCGATGTGGATGCAAACAAACTTCCTCCCCTGAAGGATCTTTATGCCTCATTTACAGGCAAAAGATTCCTACAAAAAGAGTCCTTTTACTCCACGTTTCTTTATGACCACCTGTCAGAAAACTACTCACTCCAAGGAACTGACTCTGCATTTGACAAATGGCTAAATATCAGGAAGTTTAGCTGGAGAAGTAAAAAGGGTTAGGGAGCTAACAGGGAAAAAGGCAGAGGCTGCCTTGGAAGAGGACGTGTCCTTCAGGACTTGGAAGTGAGTCATGTGGAGGGAAACCCCATAATGCAGTGCAGCGAGGGCAAAGCAGAAACTGGATGGGAGAAGACAGGAAAGGAGAGGAGTGGAAGGAGGTAGGAGGGGAGGAGAGGGGGAAAACGCCAGGAAAGGAAAGAAAAATTCCCTCATATTGATCCCAAAGTGAAGCCACTTGACCTGAAAAGCTGCCATTTTTCTCTATGGAGAATTCTGAACAGCATGGGCCTCCCAGGACTGATCTCCAGGCCAATCGCACTTAACATTCCTGTCCTCTGCCTGCTGCGGGGTGACACGGCAAGGTCCCCAGGCCTGTTGATGCCCCCAGCTCTCTTGGGGACTGGAATGACAAGCTGAAAGAGATGACCCTTGGAAGTTGTCGAAGGTCAGGCGAGAGAGCAGAAAAATATGGATTAGGTCCGTGCCTCCTGAGGTCAGAATAATTCAACCGGAAGAGGCCAAAGAGGAATAACTGGAATGACGAAGGGCGTGCAGAAAGGCTGCTCCCTGAAGAGAAATCCATCGGACCACCTTTCTCACCTAACAACTGAGGCAGAGTAGAGAGTGCCAGGCGCTGGACTTAGCTGCAGCTGTGTATGCTTTAACCTTGTCTCCACTCCTAGCCCCACCGCTTGAGAGGAGCTACTCAGCCTTGGCTTTCACACCTGTGAACTGGGCTCCCAGAAGCCATGGCACAGGCTTGCAGAGGCACTCAAGCCAAAAACACACATGCAGTGTGCGGCACACAACGAGGCAGAAAGGCCAGCACAGCGGGCAAGGCAGGAGGCCGGCCCCATCTTACTTCAGATCCCAGGGAGCTCACCACCAAGTGACTTGATCTAAATGTGCCCAGAGCACACTTGAAGATTTGTGTTTACGTCTGAGACCAGGAAAAACCTGAATTGAGTGCAGGGCGCCAAGTGATGAGCACAGTTAGAAGTACCAGACACGCTTGACTGGACCCAAGGGCTAATTTGATGTGGCAATAAACTTTTGTCTCTGTTTTGCTCGAGGATGGATGTGTTTTAGACAAGCAGCTAGCCACTGATGTATGTGACAGCTAAGAAACTCAAATTCAGAACTATATTAATCTGGAAAAATTTCAAATTTAAGCTAATCTGCTCCATATAAAAAAAATGATGCCACTGAGAAAGAAGAAACAAATTGTTACTTAAGAATACTATTTGACCAAACTTCTAAAAAGCTAGGAATCTAATTTCATGTCCCATACACCAAATGCTTCTGCTAAGAATCAATTAAATTGGTCTTACATGATTGTACAAATTCTTTTCATTTTTTAAGAAACCAAAGGTGTGATTTTTCAGACTCTTCTTTGATGAATATAAAAATTCAGTGAATGTCTTAATAAGCATAGCATTCTATTTGACAACAAAATGTGAACGTGCACACAACTATAAATTAAGCCACAATAGTCACGTTAAATATTTAAGTAATACAGCAGGCATTCTGCCATGCAACATAAATCTACAGCAAGCAGAAATTTCTCCCACATGTTAGATTTCATCTAAAGGGGAGGGAAACAGCATTACTTTCACTTTTGCAAAATGATAAAAGCCACCACTCCTGACTACAGGTTGTTTTTAAAGACACCATTAAGTGATTTTACCCAGAACAACTCCAACAAATCACCTATGAACTAAAGTTACTAATTTAGCCCTAAGAGATATAATACAATTTTTCCCTGCAATAATTATGCTTCAACAAAAATAGATCAAAGCTGGAAGAGGTGCTATTTCCAGAGCTAGTATATTGGGGCTTTTATTTCTTCCTGCCTTTTACTAACATTAGTATAATAAATAATTATAAAGCTAAGACAAACTTTGCATGGAGCCCTACAACAAGTGATAACACAGCAGCATAAAGGGAGAGGACTTTGTGTTAGAGTCCTACTCCCTATGCGTCACTGTGTAATTCGGGCAGGTTACTTAGCCTCTCTGTCCCTTTGCTTCTCAAATGGGAAAAACAGGAGAACCAGCTTCACAAGCTGCAATGCGTGACACACAGTGCCTTAATGCACCTTAACTGTCCTTAATGTCATTACTGTCATTTCATTATGATTGAGTTTACAAAGAGCTTCCACATACCTAGTAGCTTATTACTATTATGAAGTAATAGCATGAAGAAATATTTCATTTAAATTTAATTACATCACATGGCAAACATATGGGAAGAGGTATGATTCCCACCACCACCCTTTGGTTCTTTCTGACAAACCAGAAGGCCCTCCAGAGTCATCTATAAACCATGATTAGAATCATGCAAAGGTAAGTCACTCATGGAGTAGTGAACACCAAGTAACATTTATTGAGTGATTATAATGTGCTAGACAATACTCAGCATTTTGGACAATTAAGCATTATTTAATCTCACTATTATAAATACCATATTAGAAGGAACTGAACCTAGCCAGTCCAGTTAATAATACTCTTCTTAAGGTTACCATCAAGTTATCAGGTTGACATGAGAACACCAGCCAGCATTCCACCCCACTGCCCAGGATGAATTGCCTTAGAAAAACAAGCACTTTTCAAATATTCCCATCACTTTGCTTGTGAACACTAACTAAAACAACCCAGTATTGTCTGCATCTTCCTAAATAAAGACACAGGCACATGCTCACTTTACAGGACTCAGTTTCCATTATTCCACCAATTCTCTTTCAACTGTTAATGAGGATGAGCTGACTTCTAATCTTTGGTGAGTAAAACTTTTCATTGTGCTTCTAGAATTGTAGTTTACATATTTACTAGATATGTATGCAGGTGCGTGTTAAATAACTCTAGCATTCCCTTGGAATGTAATATAAACTAATCCTACTTACCAAAAAAAAAGTCGTAACAAAAAAGTGCCTTTTCACTAACATCATCTAGATCATGGTTCTTAACATGCAGTTTAGTGATTCATGAATCCTAAATTCTAAATACACGTTATGCTATACTCATATGGGTATAGGCACTCATCAGATTTTTCAAAAGGCCCTCGATATCCATTTAAATAGAGCTTCTCAAGAAAAATCACATCATTATACTAATTTTAAAGTTTTTGGGGTTCTCAGATAGAATATGCTCTGCAATCCAATGCCTCATGAGTTCATATCGTAATAATAACAAAATTCACAAGAGACAGGATTCTAGATTAAAAAGGAGATTTCCACCAGAAATTCTCCAGAGAGGTGACCTTGGGGAAATCATTTAAAATTTCTGGACTTAGTTCCATGATCTGGAAAATAACTGTGCTTTATCGATGATTTCAAGCTTTGCTCCCTAGGTCTATGACTCTACGACATCACCATTCCACACATGTAACACAAAAGAAGACGAAGTCATCTGCGCCACTTACGTCACTGATGATTTCAGTGCATTTTCTGGCCAGTTCCATGCTTAGGTCTTCAATAACAGGCTTAAGGAACCCCTGTATGGGAAAAGCAGGAAAGGGACCAGTTTTGACCTCGGCCATCACAGGAACCAACACCGTGCTTGGGGAGATGCTCCCTTGCTTACCTTGTCTTCATTTTCTTCTTCTTCTGTTTCTTCCTCTTCAGGTTCATCCTTTACATCCTCAGATACAGGGACCCTCATGTTTTTCCCCTGTCAAAATATGTATATTTTAAAACTTCACTAGTGTGGTGTCCTTTTAGGGACTGCAGTCCCTTGCGCTCCTGGTATCTCCAGCGCTTGGACAGGAGTGACCTTGCTGGGCTTCTCGTCTGCCGGGCTCACACTTTCCTCTCCTTATCTCAGCAGTGTGTGAGTGAATGCTCTAAGATCCCCAGGACTGGCCAGGGTCACTCTCACAAGTGATAAGGACATTTTCTCTTAGGCAAAATTCAGTTTAAAAAAACTCTTTAAAGTCCACATTATTTAAACTGGTTAAGAAATCCATATTAACCATTGTTACCCTCCTATTGTCTCATTTTAAAATTTTATTTTTTTCTCTTTAAAATTAAAAAATGTTTAAAAAAAAAAGATATCCAAAAGAACATTTACTTATCTTTCACTAATACAATTCATCCATAAAATGTTTTTAAAAGGACTTAATAGATTCCAGGAAAACTACTCACACTCAAGTTATCAAGCTATCACACTCAAGTTATCAGAGCCCAAAGCCTGTTATTCAAAAGATTCCTTAACTCTATCTAAAAAAAGCCTTCACTGGAATGGCAGACATAGCTCTGATTCTGTATAGCACACCAGATCATTTAAACCCGTTTCATTAACATAAATTAAATACTTTATGAGACATACACGTACATCTCACATCCTTAAAAAACACCCACTTTAATATTAGCTGATTAGAGGCTAGTAATTTATTATGAGAAGCCCTTTGAACCACTTCAAAGAACCCATTCTGAGTTAATTATGACTGTTAATCTTTTATTAGGGACTACTGTATTGTATTAATTGTAAACATCATTAAACACGAGAAGTTGCAGTTAATGTGTTGATATATCATTTAAGAATTCTAGAAACATTACTAGTTCAAAACATAATAATCAGCCTCTTTAGAGTTTCTTCATTGTGTCAAATTTCACAAATTTACTAATTATTTGTATATTTTTTCAACGCATACCGCCCACATGGAAAAGTTGGAGAGACAAATTTTCGTAATATTTATGTGGTATATGTCACTAGTTATATAATTAAAATGTATTTCTCACAACAAACTTCTTTATTGTCTCAATTTAGGTAATTCTAAGACTATAGAACTCATAATTTATTAATTTGTTATTTAAATCTGAGGGTAAATTTAGTTTTACAAAACCACTGTATGTCAGTGTCAGGAATAAAAAAATCCCATGGTTAATAATGAAAGTAATTACATTAAACACACCTTTATACAAAATAATAGATCACTGCAAGTAGCCAAGTTATTATACTGTTTTCTCTTGAGACCCACATCTGGTTTTTAACTTATTAAAGAAAAAATGCCTTGGCCTTATCAAAACTGATGATTCTGACAAGAAAAGAATTCCACATAGTCATCATAACTAGATTATTCCCCAAGTTATGTTCCAAGAGACAGAATTCCCAAAAAAATATATAGCAAGGAAAAAAACAAGCTTCTTAAACAAACCTGTTTGGGAAACCTGTACAGTAATCTCTACCCCTGCCGCTTAGCAATCCACACACCACACTGACACACTCAATGCTATAAAAACACCCTCAACCAAAAAAACATATTTCCCAAACAAGAATCCTACCCATTCCATATCCTCTCATCTGTCTACCTTTTTTTTTTTAATGATAACCACAATTCCAGAAAACTAACATCCTCTTGTGAACTATTACTCAGGGAAGCATTGCTCTACTTTGACAAATTACTGTGTTCTAAAAGAGTTGTTCCTTTTGTCATGAAACAGTTTTTGTTACAGGTTAAACAAATGACATCACGTATCCTATTTACCAACAAAATGCCCAAAAGAAATTGTCCCACGAATGTTGATTTGGAAAAATTAAGATAACAGCGATGTCATGCTTGCTGCCCAGGGTGGCAAATTCTTTGTACACTTTAGTCCCATAAAAGGAAGAAAGAATGTGTAACTCTGCTTGCTTCCCTCAAGTCCTCTGCCAGAGACTTTTCTAAATACTCTGTGAACATTCTATAGAAGATCTGTTACATCACCTTTAAGAAGGAAACAATTTCAATGGAGGAAAAATTTCTATAAACTTTTCTTGCAAACCCCAGAAGTAAAGAGAGAAAACCACGCCCAAACTGCCCAACATACAGCTCTTGCCTTGCATCAGATGACAGTGCTTGCGCTGCTCGCGATGACATCTACTCCCCAGCGGTGCCTCACCTGCATCAGCCTGAGCAGCAGTATCTCCTCATCTCCACTCTCCACTTTGCTGCAAGAAAATAACCTGTTGCGATTTAATGCACAAAAAATCTGAAAGGAAAATCAAAAACCGCATGTAATGTGAACCCAAGGTTTCCATTTGATTTTTCCTTTTTTAGTGGTACTAGGGATTGAACCAGGAGCATCACACGGGGCTACATCCCCAGCCTTTTTCATTCTGAAACCCGGTCTCACTAAGTTGCATGGGTGGGATTTGATCTTGCGATCCTCCTGCTTCAATCTCCCAAGTGCTAAGAATACAGGCATGCCAAATATCCATTTGAGAGTTTAGAATCAGAACTTGAAAGCCAAAGACATCCTTAAGAAATCAATATACCTAAAGCTCTCTCTCACAAAAGATAAAACGAAGGCCAGGAGAAATTAATTATCTGTCTCATTTGCAAGGTTATTCAATGGAATACTAGAGCCCTCTTTGTTCAGCAAGTAAGTGTCGTTGTACTAGCTTGTACTTAGTGTTAGAGATACAATGGTGAATAAAACATGCTCTGTGCTAAGATCAGGTAGGAAATAAAAAACCCAGCATTCAAGACTCGCTGGATGAACTCTTTAATGGATTGTCTGGCAAGCCACATACACCATTACTTTTGATTGAATGCATCTTTTTCCCTTCACCTATAATATAAAATTCACATTGAGATTTCTCTAAAAAATTTTAAGCCTTGCAATTTATCACAGCAAAGCTGTTCTGTCAATAGTGCTACAATCTAACTTGTGGAGTAAGGAAAAAGTATTCTTTGTGGATAGTTATCATGTTTCAAAATATCCTATCATCTTTCTAAAAAAAAAAAAACAAATTTAATGCTGTATTCTAATACATATTTCCCAACTCGGGTCACCCCCAGTGGGAATATCTCTACAGTTGTTAATCCCTGTTACTTATGGACGCTTCGTTTAGGTTGTCTGCTTTTTTAACGCTGGTCCTCTGCTCTTGCTATACGATGGAATGAGACCAAGATGGAGATCACACAGTGGGAAAAGCCTTGACATCCAGGACCAGCTCTACTTTATCCTCTGGGGCTGGGGGGGAGTCATTTAATCCCTCTGCCTCTAATTCTGCATAAATAGAAAAGCTAAATTTCCAAAAGTTCATGAAAGGAAAGTGCTGGAACAATTTCCATCTACCCAGTAAAGGGAACAGCTACAAGAAAAGCCCTTGAGGTGAAAGGGTCCTCTCACTGGAATGGGTAACTCCATGCCATCAATATATCGTTTCAAAGGCAAGAAGGGCCTCCCTAAAGATAAGAGCTAACTTGTGTATTTATGACACAGAAGGCTGCCGATCTTTTTATAGTTTGATGTGTACATGTAAGCAAGTGTATTTCCATAGCAACAGCCCCTAGCAAGGCAAACCATCTGTACCACCATCACAAGCCACATCCTGCCTGGCTGTCCTCAGTGTCCTTAAGGTCACAGGCAATAGGGATCTCCTAGTTTTTAACAGATGTTCCATAGTTATCTCACCTCTTTCTCCTTTCTTTTCTTCATCGTGATAGGACATGTGCTTTTCTCAGCAGGGTGCCAAGAGACTTGCAAATGAAATTTCATAAACTACTAAAACAGATCAAGATTCACTTCTGAGTTGAGAATGGGGATGTCCGCCTGAAATACGGCACTGGGTATGCTGGCCGCTTTAGATTGAAGATGCTAAGGAATCCCTAGACACAAACAGGCTCTGCCGTGAACTGTTTTTTTTTTTTTTTTTTTAACCTGAAGACTGGATCTGCCAGTTGATAAACAATTTCCTTTTATCCTGTTATTCCATCCACCTAACTCATATAACAGAAGAGATTGAAAGTTAAATATTATACCCAGAGCCTACATGAACTTACTCCCAGACTACTTATGTCAGTCTTTTTCTCTAAAATTTCTCCACATCCCCCATTCCATTCACACCTAGGAGGAGAGTCTATAGGCCTCTAACCCTCACAGCTTTGCTGGTCATTCTCCCTCCTGCAGTACTCCTGAGCACACGGTAAACCCTATTCCTTTCTTCCTGTTCATTCACCTACAGTCAGTGGATTTCAGCAGACTCAATGAGAGCAAGTTCCCTCTGCCCCAGTGAGGAGAACTTAAAGGTGATTTGATTTTAAAATGTTATTCACTATGTCTTATGGTAAATATAAATAATATATTATAAATATAAATAAAATATACACATGACTAGGTAAGGAGGAATTTGTTTGCCTGACTTGTTTTCCTGTCCTGACAGTTCTTTCTCATTCATTTTTAGTTGCCTAGTTTTTTGTTGTTGTTGTTGTTGTTGTTGTTTAATGATCTACCCCCAGAAAGTTCTTGTTTCTCAGTCAAATCCCTGGTTGATTTACTTTCACCTCATATTTATCCACTGTCTGGCATCTACCCAAAAAAGAGCTTATTAAGATATGAAGAAGGGGGAAACAAGAAATGTAAGTATTCTGTGGCAATTTGTCTTCTTTATAAAAGAAAACAGTCTCCTTCATACTAGCTCCATCTTTTCTTTTGTTTTACTTTGCTTTGTTTTTTGAGACAGGGTCTCTACGTAGGCTGGCCTTAAATTTATAGTCTTTCTGCCTCCGCCTCCTGTGTGCTAGGATTACAGGCGTGTGCCACCGCATCCGGCTACATGTCTTCATTTTAAGTTATTTCATTAGTAATTTGTTCATTAGAAATCAAAAAAATACAAAGTTGCCCGAGTTACTATCACCATTACCACTTAGGCTATTAAAATGAGATTTAACAGACTGTTCTATACAGTCCTATTTTTAAAAACACAGAATGTACTCACAAGTGAGGCCCACATATGTAGACTAATATTGGAGGAAGATAAGAACAAGCAACTGCAAATACTTTGGGACACAATTTCCAGGCTGAGTGAGGCAGGAAGGCCAAAATTAAAATGATGTACTCTTCTCATCAAGAGGGAAATTTAATGTGAGCGCCCAGTGAAGTAAAGGCTTTCCTTTCATTTGCACCTGCCCTGAGATATGAATTCAGTTCTCCTAATTTTGAAGCTAAGACTACAATCACTCCGGCAATGCTTGCCACATAGAGAAGCCCAACGTTGGAGTGGGCTCTATATGGTTTAAGACCAGAGCCAATGCATCCAGTGAGATCCACAGAAAGTATCCCTCACCTAGAATTCTGTGTAAGACTTTGGGATCACTGTGAAATACTGAAATGGACACACAGAGAACAAATTATCAGGTGTCTTAACTACTGCTTCCTTTGGGATCCTCCTGTCCTTTCTTGCCAGTGCTACTTTATAATTCTGTAACTTGTTGAAAATTGATAACAAAGATAAAATGATCCTTATCCATAGAAATGCAAATTAATTGTGTCCTCAGGAAAGCAACTGATTATTGCCCCGCAGATCAACCCTCTCTGCATCTATTTATAAACTTATTTCAGCATTCCTTATCACTCATTGATGTGTGGCTCTTGAAACACACCTTTGAACCGTCTGTAACATCTTACAGGTACACTCATTTGTGAGTAAAATTTCTGAAGCAGGCTTTATGTTTCAGGAGAAATCATATCTTTTTTACAAAAATCCTTTAACAGTTGTGAATGATTCAGTTACCCTCGTTTCTTTAACATTCAAAGGCAATTCTGGAGAAAGCTCTTTCCTCTCAAATATTAAGTATGTCTGTAAAACACTGGGGCCCCTATTGAAATCAGCTTTTGATTTTGTTTTCAGTTCTGACCTCACTCGACTACGTGTGTATGTACACTCACACACCCGCACGCACACGCACACACAAGCGTGCGCACTCGGGCAGCGTTAATCCACCACAGCTGCCAGCACCCCTCCCGAAAAGCATAAACGGCTTGAATAAATGCAAAGACTTAATTACTTCTCACATCTGGAAAAACTTGACTATGAGAGTGGATTTATTGAAGAAGCTCTTGGCTGGGCTGTCAACACCACAGGCGGAGTCAGGAAGAGAGCGCGCTTGATCACTCTTGGCAACTCTTAACCCATTCAGAGATAGATGATCTACCAATTAATTCACAACACGGCCTGTTTACATGATTTATGAGTTTTATAAAAGCACAATAAAGTAAATGATGTCCTAGTAACTTACAGAGAAAAGCTGTTTTTGTCATGTTTCGGAGGGGGATATATATGGAACTGTGGAAATAAGGAGGAAGTCCTTGGATTCAGGGAAACAAAGGGAAGACTTACCCAGAACATACTGAAAACAGCCATTTGAACCATAACTTACACACACACACACACACACATGCATGCGCACACATGCATGTGCACACACACGCACACACACACACGCACACATGCATGCACGCACAAAAGGAGATGATTTGGCATTTTCTGAAAAAAAATACAATGGTGTTTCTAAGAAGAAAGTTATGTGAGGTTATGCAAGAAGATTTAACAGAAAGGAAAGCCCAGGCAGCACTCCCTCGCACAGTTCACTGAAGTGATGAGATATAGAATAAAGTCACAAAGACCCAGAGGCAAAACGTGAAGGGACCAAAAGTTTAATGTCCCTGGAACTCACAAAAGAAGAAACGTGGGAAGTAGAGGATCTGAGGGTCGCTCAGCAGCCAGAGACCTCCAGGGAGAGCTCAATTCAAGAAATGTATGAAACTCACTTTTCCTAACACAAAATGCTTAAGCTGGTTTGGGCCATGAACCCTTCATAAATAACACAGCTCCTGGCCAACTAACTATGGAATCAGCGGCTTTACGGCTACTCTATTCCCTCTCAAATGCCTTGAACTTAATTTTTGCCCCTTCCTGTTATCATTAGCCAAGTGAGATACTCACTGTGTATCCAGATTTTATGAAAATTCTTTGTGAAGAAAGTATTTTCATGTTTATTTTTCTATTAAGAGAAATACTCAAGTGAAATCCCCTTGTATTAGATACACCCAGAAGTAAATGGAATATCTTTTAAATGTGTTTATAACATGAATCTCATACCTTTTGCATTTCTACAATTACAATGTTATTATTAAGATGTGCCTCTTTTTTCCATTATTTAC